GTTTGGGATTAGGGTTTGCAAGCATACAAATAGGAGTCCTACAAATGTTGTACCCTCTAGGGAGTGCCTCACTGCAGCCTATCATAACATTAACATTTGACAAAACCCAACAAGGAATTCAGTTTGTTGCCACACGATTGGATCAACAAGCTTGGATTGGGTCAGTTGACTAGTACTATTCATATGCACATACGGTTTATGGGATGGAGTCTCGATAAGGAGGGTTGTGTCAAATGTTGTAATTTTGAGTTAGGCTACAGTGAAGTACCTTCTAGGGGGTACAGCCCTTTTAGGGTTGACTATTTGTAACCCATGTCAGAAAATATAAGTTTATATTTTCTATATATAACAGCCTGTAGGATTGGTGACTGTAGTTCTAGCGTTTTCCTGTTTGGTGGTGCACCCTTCTTGTTTCTTCTTGCCTACTTGTACTGCTTGCTCTATAGTGAACACCCTCATTTGTTGGCTCCCTCTCCCACGCTACCTTCCACTACCAAAACCCTTACCATGGTGTTAGAATAAGCAGGCAGGAATGATTGTATTGAGAAGGAAGGGCAGTACAAGTAGTCCTAACCCTAGAGTGTTGTACCCCTTGTAGGCTAACCCACTATAGCCTAGAGATAACACAAACATACAGTTTGACACATGGCGCCTAAGCTTAATCTACGACTTTAATAACCCAACCTCATGCTAGTCAATCATTCCATTATTCTACTCTTTGTGATTGTATCATTGTAGGTTACTCATAGGACCCTAGCCTAGCGTCCCGTCCCGCACGCGCCTAGTCCCGTCCCGTCCTGCCCCACCCCGCTCGCTATCGCACGCCCCGTCCCGTCCCGTCCCATCTTGTCCCGTCCCGTCCCGCACGCAGTCACTGCGCGCAGCCGCGCACACGCTGTCACGCAGCCGCACACGCTCAGCCGCGTGCACGCAGCCGCGCACAGCCACGCACGCGCAACCGCGCGCCCATAGCCACGCAACTGCATCAGCACGCACGCAGCCGCGCGCGCACCCACACACGCGCACGCACAATTGCGCGCACACCCGCAGCCGCACGCTCAGCAGCAGCCGCATGCGCACCGCAGCTGCACGTGCATTATCAATCGCACGCGCGCAACAGCAGGCGTACGTGCAGCCGCAGCCACATGAGCAACCGCAGCCGCACACGCAGCTCCTGCAGTACGCGCCGCAGCAGCCGCAAGCGCTGCAACTGCTGCATGCGCAGCAGTAGCCGCACGCGCCGCAGCAGCCGCACGTACAGCCTATGCCGCACGCAATGCAGCAGCCGCCCGTGCAGCACCTACCGCGCCTGCCGCTGCAGCTGCACGCGACTGTCCCCTTACACGCACCTACCGCAGAGCACCTGCACCCTTGCACAACAACCTCACCAACCGGCCCGTGCTCTTGGTGACACTTTTCACAGCGGCTGGAGGCCGCATCCTATCTTGGTTCGTGGCGTCGTTCTTAGGGTCTAGTACTTCCTCCAGAGAGTCGTCTTAGGGCTTGCACGCCGCTCCAAGTCTTGCCGCTCTGGCTTTGTTCGCTACTCGCTCCGGTCATTCCTAGTCGTCCGCCTTTGTTTGCTTCTAGCTCGGGCCATTCCTATCCCTTCGCTCCTAGCCCGGTAGTGCTCTCACCATGGCGCCCGCTCGAGTCCTGCGTTTCAATGCGGAGGGTAGAGCGCTAGACATCCCCACCTGGCTCCCCCGCGCCGAGTTGCTCCTACAGAGTCAGCGCTAGGATGGTGACACGCTTTGGGCGCACGCCTCTGGCGACTTGCCTTCGCCTCCGCGACCTGTTGACCTGCCTGCAGAGAAATGACGCCCAGCGGCAGCGCTTTACTCAGCCTCGTACAACACTGTCGGTGTGGCGGTCTCGAGACGCTGCGGCTCGTATTGCTCTTGGCAGCCTTCTCCTCAAGACCGAGGAGGCCCACTTCAGCCAGGTTCGATCTGCCCAGGAGTGTTTTGCTGCGATGAAGACCCGTTACTCCACTTCCTCCTTCGCCTCTCTTGGTCACCTCTTCATGTCGTTTTCCGTTTCCCGACCTAGGAGCATTTACCTGTACTGCGGACCTTGTCACCCACCTGCGCTCGCTCAACGTTAGCTACCGTGCTGCTTGTACCGAGGCTGAGCTTGCAGCCCGCCTTGCACCTGTACACGACGTGCTTCTTTGGAAGTACCCTAGTGAGCACACTATCGAGATACTTGAGACAGCTCTCAAGGACATCAAGAGCAACATCCGCTATGTTGCCTCCGCTTCTGCCGCCGTAGTTCCCCCGCTCTTTTAGGGGTGTACTGTCCCACATCTCCCCACCTTCACTGGTTCTCTTGCCTCTGCTGTGTCTCCTGCGACAGGGGAGGTAAGAAAGGGGGGGAGGGTGGTGGCGGCGGTGGTGGTGGAGAGGGTGGCGGAGGTGGTGGTGGTACTAGTGCGTCTATTGGAGGCGGCACTGGAGGTGGTACTGGGCATGCGATCCCGACAGGTGGGGGTACGGAATAGGGTTCAACAATGGCGCTCCTCGGCCACTAGGGAGCGACGTAGCTATGCCCGGTGTCGTCATCTTGTTGATCAAGAAACAGATCAACCCCAATTATTGTGAGGCCAGTATTTCACCTTGTTCATGGATTACTTCTCACAAGCCGCATGCCAAGCCACCGGAGCAACGTTAAGTTCCTGTGCTCAAAGGCTGCCGACGTTTCTCCACTGGTCCTGGTAAGTTTCAAAAGACGTACCTTTCGGTAACTGCGTTGTCGATAAAGTCGGTCCAGGGTCAGCATGGGCGTAATGTGAGAAGCTGTGCAGCCCAGTAAGAAATTTGGATCCTGATCTTTCGTGTGAACCGAACACCTCCTCAGGCCATCACATCGTGGGTCACTTGTTCTGGCTGGATTAAGGTGAGGAATTCGTAGTACTACTCAATTTACGGTACGGTAGGTGAGGCACCCCGTACTAATGGGTAGAGGCTTTCACCCTGGTCTTCAATACAGGGGCTGCCAGCATGGTGATAATCTAGGTCACTTCTTCCATCACCACTGCAATCATACTGACGCCAAGCTGCACGACAGTGGGGCATGTGAAACACTAAGCGCCAGGCCCAGGCGCCATTGAAGATTCGTCATACGGTACGTATTCATTATGACAAGAGCAGCACCCAGAACTGGCAGGAATTTAGCCAAACGAGGAACGAGTTGAACACAATCACACGAAGACTGACAGCAGTACCTATGCAGCATGGTCAGGTACTTATAAGAATGGACATCACAGTGCAACTAAGCAGAGCACAACACGAGAAGTGAGCACACAAAAAGTCCCCAGATGGTCATTCTTGGCGTGACCATACAGTTTCTAAGGTGTCAGACAGCGCATGTCAGGAGCACTGACAGCTAATTAGTTCAGGCCGCACGCAGTCAAGGCTACAAAATCATCATCCCCTCCTTTTTTCTCCTTCCATCTTCATTCTTCCGTCATACTGGCGATTGCCTGAAACTGTTGGGCCTCTAAGGTCACCGGGTCATCGTCCGGGGAGTGTTCTTCAAGAATGGCCGTTAGCTGACCCTCTACAATAGTCCATGCCTGTACACGCAGCATGCGATGGTGTACGAGGTTGAGAAGGATAGACTTGGAACCACAAACAACTGATACACGAAAAAAGGCACGCTGGTACACTGACTTCTCTCACCTGAGAAGCATCATAGCTTATGCGAGCGGCACGAAATTTCCTGTTTGAAGAAAGGTCCACATTCTGTAATGGAAAGAGAAAATCAAGTTAGCAATCATGCCCATCAACAACGAGGCGTCAGGAGGAGAAGAAATGGCATCCATACCATGATTTCGATGGTTCTCGGCTCGTGAGACAGCTTGTCAGCATCGGGATGGGGTTGGAATACAATGAAGGCGATGGAGAAGAGAAGGAAGCTAACGAGGATAGCCCATAAAAGCGACTGATTTGACGGCGAGCTCATCCACTGACTGATACTTCGTGGGCTCTGTGACATATCGTGTGTGAATGACAGCCGCTTAGGATAAAGCGGTGAGTGCTCAGACATCTCCGACAGCTGTTTCTTAAGATGCAGAAGAGGAGTCTCACTAATACCCAGCCAGCTACCAGGGAACATGAGGAACATTCGCCACCGTAAGCTTAGGATTTCTAATAACGAGGTCGGACTATCGTCGTAAGCGTCAGTTCCGAGGTCTCGCTCTGCGGTGCCAACCGCTCTATGATTGAGCGAACCAACACCATCTCTCGCGTTCATGTCGGGGGAATCCAGCTTTTCTAATATTATGTGGAACTATGCATTCGTCTGCGCGATAGCGGATATAGCAGAAACCATGCTCGAAGGAACAAATAGATTGCTATGTGCCAAGTATGGGCCTCAGTTCACCTAAGAACCGTCAGTAGAGGGCGCTGCCCTCTTGCGGAGTACTAATGCTGCAGCTAAGAACGACAGTTTGGCCGAGGCGCAAGGACCAAGTGACAGCAGCAGGATCACGCCTGCCTGGGCGGAACCTCTGGTGGCATATTTCGTCCCATTCACATTCACTGTCAAAGGTTTGTCCGGACAGATTCTTCAACGGCTAGCTGGAAAACGGGGGCCAGGGCCGCCAGGCACCGACGGATTGCACCTTGGGATTGGAATTGGTATGATCAGAGCGCTTATTGGTTGCAGCGCGGAGTTCAGTGAGTCTGACGGACTCTGTTAGAGGGGAATTTGCGTTGGCGGATGTAACCGTGATTTCTCCAAGAGGTCAGACGGAGTAAATGGCGACAGAGAGGGGGAACTGGCACAGTCGGTCGCGTCGGCTGAATTGAAAATGGCGGCAAAATTCAAGAGTCAAGTTTCTGACAACCATCCAGGGGTGAGCGGTGCAGAGGCTTCTATATGGGTTCTTCATACCTGTGATATATATTTTCTTATGCTCCCACAAAAATGGTGAATAATATGCACACTTAGTGGCTGCAACCAGCCAAATTTTGATAACAGGAGGCAAACGCAACCTAGTGTCTACTTGCAGACCTGTCTCTAGGTGACATGTTGATTGGGAGCCCTTCTAGGATTGAGACAAGGAGGCCTTGTTCATGCAGCTGCTGAACATCATCAGCTCCTCCTATATAGCGGCCACGGACAAAGAGGTGCGGTACTGACAAGGATGCGCTTCCCATGAGGGTTTTCAACTCCTGACGAAAGTGAACCCGCATGGACACATCTCGTTCCTCAAACATGGCTCCAAGGGCCTGCAACAATGGGGAAAGGAGACGGAAAATAAGTACGACACTACTGGAAATAGAGGGTAAACAAGAAATAAGGAAAACGTATATTGTTACTCACCCTGAGAACAAGTCGCACTTGCATACAATCTTCAAAAGTCTGGCTCACTGCCCGTAGCGTTGTCATGTACAAAACAACCTTGCCATCCCCTCCCGGTGGACAATTCACCGGAAAGCTTTCCAGCAACATCCTCCCACTCCCGTTAGGAGCTTTCATAACAGCACACACAGTCTGGGCTTCACCCACCAACCCAGAGCCCCCAGACTGTCTCAGGCGCCCCACCTCCACAGAGGAGAAAGACACGTCTCTATTGCCAGCTCTTGCCACATCAGCAGCTTCAACTCCTGCTTCCCCAGCTCTGAATCCAGCCTCACCAGAGCACCCAGCACTCGGCTCAAGGGCCCTTGAAGCACTGCCTGAGCTGGCATCAGCTCTCTCAAGGACACCTGAGTCCACTGGACCATGCATCTCAGCTGCAGCCGCAGTCTGCATCACATCATCCACCTCCCTTCCCGAACCACCTGTGTGCTGCTCTCCTGCCCCTTGTAAACCGCGCCCAGACACTTCCGTTCTACCCTCTTCAGTACTCACCATACTGGCCAAGCCCACCACACCTCCACTCCCAGACTTCACCAGCCCCGGAGTCAACCAGCCCCGGCCCGAACCTGCAATGCTCCCCGCCCTTTGCCCGTCCCCCCACACAGCACCATGAGGAATCTCACCCGTTGATACCCTGCGCGCACTCTCACCCGTTCCCCCTCTGCGGGGACTCATGCTGCTGAAGGACCTGCGTGGGCTTGGAGCCTGGGGCCGAGGACTAGTCAGCCGAGCCCTCGGACTCTGCAACGGCGGCTTGCCCCGCCGAGGACTCTGCCCTGCCCGAGCTGGAATTCTCATTCTCCCCACAGCGGCAGCCATGGCGTCGACTGCAGCGGCGGGAGAACCAGGAGCAAAGAGGGAAGCTCCAGGCGAGTTGGGTGCGGGGGAATCGGGTGCGGGAGAGTTTGGTCCTTGGCGCATGGGACTGGACAAGGGAGTGAGGCGGCGCCAGTCAGCGGGATCATGCCTGTGGAAAACTGCCTCCATGGTGGCTAGAAGCTCTGGATCAAACAGGGAATCCTCCTCAAAACCCGCTTCCTGCGTATCGCCCAGCCCATCGTCTGCTTCAATTGCCACCCGGGGAGATTGATGTACCTGTGCTGGATCTTTATTGCTGTCCGACTTAAAAGTCCGTTGCTGCCCCAGCCCCAGGAAAGCCGCCTCTTCTTCCTCTGCTTCCATGAGGAAGTCCTCGAACCCATCGATGATGATAGCTCCATCTGAAGCGACGCTCATGCCTGATATAGTCCTCCTTGGAACCCGAACTGCAGGATTGATTCTCCCTGACTCCAGCTGTCGCTCCTCCTGCTGCTGCTCCTTCTCCTGCTGCTGCTGCATTTGCTCTCTCTCCTCCTCCTCCTCACACTGTTGCGTCCGTGGCTCCTGATCAGGCTGTTCATTCTGCTCCTCACCCACACCCGCCTGCTGCTGCCGCGCCTCTCTGTCCAGCTCCTCCTCCTCCTGCTCCACCAGCTCCGCCAACGAGACTCTGTACTCCCACTCCCTCCTCAAGTCCTCTTCAAAGCTCGCCAGCACATCCGGGTCAAACATTGAGTCAAGCCCTCCCCATTCCCCCGCCGCTGCCGGCTCCTTGCTGCTGTCTCTCCCCTTCTCCACCTGCTCACTGCTCCCCAACTCCCCCAATCTGCTCTCCGTGAGTCCCATGTGCTCTGGTTGGTCAGCCAATCTAGCATTCACAGTGTCGACCTTCACTGTCGCACGAGATTCACTTTCCACAGCCCTGTCAGCCCTGTCAGACCTGTCAGTTCGTTCAGTTCCGTCAACCCTGTCTGCATTGTCATGCTCATCACCAGCCAGCGCATCTGCGGCTATGACTCCGGCCTCCTCCTCCAGCATTCTCAACACGTCCTCCACCTCCTCATCGTCAATTCTCCCGGAATGTACACCCGTCACCGCTTCCTCGGCCACACTAGAAGCACCACGGTCTACGGATGTGGACATGCTCGTAGCTTCGACTTCGGAAGCGCCAGCGTAGGGGTCAGTCGCCGTCAGTGAAGGATGATCCCCAGACTGAGCAGCACCTGAAGGATTTCTCTGTTGAGCATTTCCCTGCTCAGCCTCCGATGCCTCGTCAGCCCTGTAATTGGGTTGATCTCTTTGCTCCTCCAGTTCTTGTTGCTGCTCCTCCTGCTCCTCGTGCTGCTGCAGATTCTGCGCCTGCTGCTGATGCTGCGACTGCGGCTGCTGGTGTTTTTCCACCTCTTCCTCCTCCTCTTCCTCCTCGTCCTCATCCTCCAGGTCCATCATGATCGTCTGCACGTCAATCAGCTCAGCAACGTCATTTCCGTCCGACATCACATCCTCGTCCGTCACCAGAGGAGGCAGCTCAACGCTCAACTTCCGATGCTTCTTAAACGGCTCACGTGCGGCTGTATCTGACTCCCGTCCAGCCGAATCTGCTTCAGGTGCCGCCGCATCTGCATCACGTGAGGCCAAATTTGCCTCACCGCGTGATTCTGAACTCGTCGTTCCGTTTCCCTCAATGACCGCCTCGCTCGTTTGGGATCGAGGGCCTTCCCTTGGCTCAGCTTCACCATTGACGTCGTGAGCATTCGCCACCGCTACTGAACTTTCCACTTTATCGTGATCGGGACACAGAGCCGATGGAGCTCGCAATTCAGCAGCAGAGGGAGCACATTTGTCAGCTTCTGATTCAGCTGCTTTGGCTGTACTGTGTTCGCGCTCCTGCGCAGTGGATGGAATAGCCACCGATACAGTGGCGTCGCACGCATCTGCTTCAGTTGAACCGTCGGTTGCTGATGCTAAAGCTGAATCGTCCACAGCTGCCTTCACACCGGCTGGCGACGGCTTCTCATTCGCTGCCTCGTGATTGGCCTTATCGTTGGTTTCCTGCTCGTCCGTAACATCGTTTTCGTCTACCTTCAAAGCCTCGGCGCCTGAGCACAAGCACTGGGAAAATATGTCTGCTCGTATTCGTGGCTTTTCCCCCCGCTTCGCTTGCAATTTCGGTGCAAGGTGAATTGGAAGGTTCAAGCAGCCAGACGTGTCGGAAGGTATCGCAATTGGGAGCGGTTTCGGTTTCTTCGAGGACGTAGACTGCTTGACGTGCTTCGTGCTAGAATCGCCTTTTACCGCGGGCTTTGAGAATGAGCAACCCATTGCAGCTTATGCCAACCTAATGTCAGTGACGTTATGAAAACCGAACAACCTGGGAGCATCAGAAGACGCGTGAAATGGCTATCCACAAGTTAATTCATGTCTAGCTGCCCGAGCAAATGCTTGAAAACACAGGCGGACGAAAGCTAGAGTTGTGAACTGCATAAACACAACCTAGATAGTGTCGAAAAGCTTATATGCACGTGTTCCACATTCTCGGAAAGGGTGCTGGTTCCGAATAGAGCGCGACTCGGAGTTGCAGCCAGGCGACACGAACCCAAACAGAATTGCCGCAATTGGCTGGTTCGTTCGATGATAGCGACTGGTGAGCGCAGAACACAACCAAACAGTCAGTCGCTATCCGTCCGTCAGTCACTGCTGGGGCGTTACCGTTCGGGTCAGAACGGAAAACGGAACTGGCTGACCAACAGCACCCACGGTGAAGGGACGAGTGGAGGGGAACGAGGTTGGATAGGAGGGGGCAGCAGACGGAAGTAGTGCCGAGATGACAGAACTGACGGGAGAGACTCTTGATGTGGGCGGTGGAGATGGTAAAGTTGGCTGGGCAGGGCAGAAATGTTATTCCAGCAGCAGAGCCAAACAGAGATGGGCCTTCGGGGCCCAAGAAGTTCTGGGGATGACGTTTTGGGTTGCTGTAGCTGTCTTGAGTTTCCCACTGTCCAGCGACGCCTTCCCAGCGGGACGTGGTGTTTTGGCTTCCGATTGGACATTCTGATTACGCATCCACTCATTATTGTACACATGTCTCTGACAATGGGTGGCTGCATGTGGGAGGATTCACCAGACACCTCACACGCGAACCATCGAAGCTGACGTCTGGAAAACTGTTTCCGCATCCCTCGACGGACGTCAAAACACTGTAACGAATCGCGGGCAGAGAAAACGAATCAGCTAGGGTTTCGACCTCACCAAGCACGGAACTCCGAGACCCACCCAAGTGGGGCCTTACGAGCCAGCGTCCCTTTACCCTCAACCAGCGTCCCTCCGTCCGTCCGTTCCTCCCCATCTCCCCTCCCCAGCGTTGGCGCGAATCACGCCTGGTACGCACACCACCACCCCACCATAGCCCTATCCGCTGTACCTTTGACTATGCCATGCAGTCTGTCTTCCTTGTCTGGTCTCTTCCTTGTGGGTCGTCCTGGATAGGGAGCCGTCGGAAGTCGTTTGAACGTGCGGCTTGTTTCCGTTCTTATAAGGAACCGAGTTCTGGCCGTTTCGGTGATCCGTGCATTGTCTTCCACTTCCAAGGGCGCATCTGATTTTTCAGCCAGATAGACGCGTTTTTAGGGTTCCTCATGCTAGTTGGTCGCCATGGAAACGATGTTTCTTGTGTCAACAACTCCCGTTGATCCTATGTTTGGGTTACATGCACGCATGTGGTGTTTTTGGGCAGTACATCGGCGTCATATATGCGACATCTTAATCGACCATGGATGACAACCATCTTCGAGTTGTTTTGAAAATACACAAGCGATCTTCCTTGGAGGCCTCTCCGTCTCGGACTTGGAAGGCGCAGGAGACTTCCACAGACCCCTCAGTCCCCAATCCTAAGAGTCAACGAACGAAGGCTATAAGGGAAGAGCATAGTCTAGTTATCCCGTCGCCGCCAAAACCTGATTCAAAAGGGGCATCACCACCTGCTGATGAAACGGTAGCGCATCCAGTTTTTTCGTCGAAGCGAAAGCGACAGGTCAGCTTCACTTTATTAGATTCTGAGCCTTCTTCCATGTGCGTGTTCGGGTGTTGATGGATTTTCGTGATAAATGCAGCTATCGGACAGCGGAATAGCGGACTCGAGACCGTCGGAGCAGACATTTTCAGGCAATGAAAATAAATCCTCCTTACCACTTAAAGGTAATTCCGTGTTCAGTTGCAGCATGCTTCTGTGAGTTTTTTTTGGTAGTTTTTTTGCTGACTTCCGGAGTTTTCACTTGTGAAACAGACGGAAAAAAACCGCTGCCAGAGAAAGCGCTTTGTGAGATTCTTGACAAACTGCAAAAGTGAGTGGTGTGCGACAGTCCAGTTTACGGTTCTGTTGGATTTCTTGTGTCTCATGGAACCCCACATCGCGCTTTTGTTGCAGGAAGGACTTGTATGGCGTGTTCTCTGTTCCAGTGAATCCTGCTGAGGTACAATATAAGTCTGTTTTGTTTTGTCTTTTTCTTCATTTGTTTTGCTCCTTGCTTTACTGATATCTGATTTCTTTTTTACACTACGGAACATTTCCCTCCCAAACAGGTTCCGGACTATTTTGACGTCATTTCTCACCCCATGGATTTCAGCACCGTGAGGGGAAAGGTTGCAAAGAAATTCTATACGTCATGGGGCCAATTCGAGGTACCTGTGTATAGGTCCCGTCGTTTCATTGTTGTTGGATAGGCGACTTTCCGGTGAGGTTGTATGGTTGTATTCACCGTCTCGTGTTTCCTTCTTTCAGGATGACGTGTCCTTGATCTGGAAGAATGCCATGATCTATAACGCCGAGGGGACCATTTATTACAAGCAGGCTAAGGCTATGCAGGGAATGGCTCAGAAGATTTTTCCAGCAGCAGGTTCCAACGAGCTTTACCCAAGATCTGGATTTGGAAGGGGATTTCGAGGTCGTGGAAGGGGAAGAGGTCAACCCGGTCGTCCTAAAAGGGTCCCTCTATCTGATCCTGCGCAGAAGGACACTCAGTCCGGTATGCTTACTGCAATTTACAGCTTCGTCTTCCTTTGAGGCTGTCTGTTGACGTCTGTTTGTTTTCCCCGTGAAGGTCGAAGATTTCTGGGCCAGAGAAAGGAGGCGGTTCCGTTGGTGGATGACAAGCAAGATCGTTTGGTGTTTGGGATGGACGAACGATCGGAGGTATCACTGTCAGAGGACATTGCGCAGACTAATCCTGCACAGAGGATATTGGGGAAAGGCATGGAGAAAGGGGAACTGTTGAATAGCCAGAGCCAGCCGAAATCAAATTACATAGGAGGCGATGATTCTGGTAACAAAGGTCAGTTGGAGTTGCTATTTCCTGTTGAATTCTGGGGCTGTTCAATTTATGCTGCTAACGCTTTCCTGACTTGCCTTTTCAGTGTCCCGGTTGAAGAACTACAAGGTCTGCCGTAGAGCAACATCCCCGAGTGGCGGGAAGCACCTGTCTTTCCGCTCCTGGAGACAGTCAAGGTCTTGTCAGACGAGCAGAAGTGTAGTGCCCGAGAGCTTCGCCCTGAGCTATTCTGTAAGCACTTTGATTTCGTTCTCACTCGTCGTTTTCACTCAAAGCTTGGTGAAATTGATCATTAGCCGTTTCCATATTTGCAGGCTGATCAAGACCCTCTCGCTTACGCCCACAGCTTAGCCCGTTTTGCGTCACCCCTTGGCTCGTTGGTTTGGGAAGTCGCTGCAGAGAGAGTCAAGCAGGCTCTCCCTTCGGAAGTTCCTTTTGGTAGAGGATGGATTGGCCAGGATGACCCCTTGCAGTCATTGCAGTCGTTGAATCCTGAGGGCGAGTCGGCGAGGAATGTGTTGAGAGGCCAGAAGGAGGGGGTCCCTGACGTTACCGTGGTTGATGTAAAGCAAGCCTCGAAGCAACCTGTGAGGACAGCAGCTAAGACTTCTGCAAGGCCTGCCAAAGGTCTGAGGAAGTCTGCCTCTTCACATCCTGGATCACTGACCAAGTTGCAGGTTTGTTCTGAAGCAGCTGCGGCAGCTCCGATTGAGACTGCCCATTCAAAATCCGTTAGCGATGGAGCTCCTGTATCTTCAACCTCGGAGTCTGTCCATGGGCCCAAAGACATTGGCCGATTGTCAGGCATGCTCCACATGCCACACTGGTTTAACGGTGCAAGCAGACCTGGAGCAGGATTCTCTTCGCCTCCACCTACAGCAGCTGTAGTTTCACCGATATCTGCACAGGAGGCCTTAAGCGGGGCGCGTGGGGTTTCTACCGGAAGCCCTTCAGAAGCTGGGTCCCTTAGTCTGAGCAATGCTGCGATCCAGACGCTGCTGAATTCTTGTGTAGGTTCTGCTGATCACGTTGATCGCAGCAGCGTTTTGGCAATGCGTGCTTCAGCTGTTGCTGCTCTGCAGGCTGCGAACTCTGCCAGACAGGGCCAGTCAGTCCTCTCTGCTCAGGCTCTGCAGTCACTCATGCATGCACCTCAAGGCTCTACTGATGTCGAAACTCCCACAAAGCCCCTTGGTTCGGCCCTTATGGGAGCTTTGAATGCCCTGTGGTCTCAGAATGCGTCCACCTCATCACCTGGTGCTCCTGCAATCACTGCAGCTGCTTTTGGGAAGCAGGGTTTGAATTCGCTGCAACGGCTTGGTGGGTTATCATCCCCAGTAAGAGCTGGTTCAACCTCATCGTCTGACCCTGGAGACAAGAACGCTGCAGACCATCTGAACAAAATGGTAGAAGGCCATCATGCAGTGTTTTCTCAGAATGGCTTGAAAAATAGCCCCCTCTGGGCGGCTCTTGAGGCTGGAAAGATTGATGGTCTTCTGGGGAGCCCTCTCAACTCAAGCAAGGGTGCTTCTGTGGGAGATGGCAGTGGAGCCCAAGCTGTAGCAACCTCCAACCAATCTGCACAAGCCCTGGCTGCCTCTGTCTCACAAGGATCATGGCTGGGTGGTCTTCCAGGCAATGCATGGCTTGCTGATTTTTCATCCCAGCAACAGCAAGCAGAGAACGCGACTGCGTATGGATCTCTCAATGCTCGTACGCCCGCAACACTTGCTGACGTCCTGCAGCAGCAACAAGGGACTAATCCATCAACATCCTCGTTGAGACCTGGTTCCTCATCAGCTGCTCGGAGCATGATGGCTGCCCTGGATAAACTGAAGGCTCATCATGGCCTTCACAGCAATTCGGCCGGGTCGTCGTTCTCATCTGCTGCATTCAGTGCAGCAGCTGCAGCTGCGTCAAACCATGCTTCTGCCTCTGCATCTGCTGGTTTGCCCGTTGCTGATGGTAGCATGGCTGCTGCAACTGGTTCATTTGCCAACATGGCAAGCATGATGAGTGCCATGACGAAGCCGCTAGATCCACGGTCTCCACCTAGTCTTCAACAACAGCGGCAGCAGCAGCAGCAACTGAAGCTAGCGGAGCAGCAACATCAGCAGCAGAGGCAAAAGCAATTGCTGCTTTTGCAGCAGCAGCAGCGATTGCAGCAGCAGAGGCAGGAACAACAACAGCAGCTGCTACATCAGCAGCAACAACAGCAGCAACAACGTTTGCAGCAACAGCGGCAGCAATTGCTACTCCGGCAGCATCAAGCATCTCTTTTGCAGAAGCAGCCTACTCAAAATGGTGCTCAGCAGCAGCAAGAGAGCCAGCGGCAACAGAGTACTACAGCACAGCAGAGCACTTCAGACAGCCGGTTTCCACAGGGCTGGCTTTCACCACAGGACCAGCAACAGGCATTTCAACTTCTGGCTCAGGCCCAGAAAAACAAGGAGCTTGCAGAGCTTCAAGCTAATAAGCAAATGCCAGTTTGGGAGCAGCAGAAGCAGCAGCGTGATGACCAGTCTGGGCAGTTCCAATCTAGGTCAGTTGCGTCTGAGCCAGAGCTTAGACTGCAGCTGTAGGTGATATCTTGTACAGGACGTTATCCTGTATTCTTCATTTACTAGTCCTTGATGTTCTGATTTTTAGAGCAGGCAACTACTGGTCGTGATTATTTGTCGGTTTCATGTACAGTGAGTGGGCAACGTTCGCGCCCGCCCACCCTGGCGAAATTTTCGAGTGGGGAATAGCACGCAACACTTGCGCGGGATGAGACGAGTACGTGGAGAGGACTTTCGGGGCTAAATTCCTTGTAGGGTAATGTGCCGGGGAAACAAAACACCTCGAAAATCCCCTGGCGTGGCCACTCGAGCAATTATCACTGAATTTGATGGCCACGCGAGCAATTTGGGGACACGTGGGCAAGAGCGAATCACCAAACAAGGCCCTGGAGCAATTCTCTCATTCAGCCCGCTCCGCAGCACAGTTTCCTGGGCTCGTAGTCAGAGCGCCTCGCAAATCTCTAGGGAAGTTCCCTGACCTCACGAATTCCCATTCCTCTCCCTCTGTCCTCACATTTCCACACCTCCTGAATATCTCCTTTTCAGTTTCACGAGGTAGGGGGAGCAGCATTGTTATCCCCCTTGCATTTCTCTGTTTTGACTGCACTGGGTTATCTTAGCCAGTGTGCAGTCTGCTGGCTTGGTTGGTTTTCTTGTACGCCGCTGCGCAGCTGCATTAACACTTATTCAGCGACGAGTTTTTTTTAATCCTAAGAAACACACTTATCCTCTCTATCAGTGTATAGCCGACCGTGAATCTGTTCAGCATGGCTTCGTTAGCGAACGCTGCGAGCGTTTCTATCTCACCACAACTTCGTTCGGTTGCCAAGCCGTCGCACGTCGCACGCAACTTCTCCCGCTCCGCTTCCTTCGCTACGAGCTCCAGAAGCAACCGTCACAACTCAAGACCCTTCTCCTTAAAAGCATCAGCGCAGCCTCCCGCGTCGTCCGGTCCAAACGAGGATGCGGGAGCGTGGACAGTAGCGAACGACTATCCCGAAGATTACGTCCTTTTGTCGACGGATCCGGAAGATCTCGAGGCGACGCTGAGGCGAATCGCGGAGGAGAACGAGGTGCTCAAGAGGAGGGTGGAGGAGGCGACGGCGGCGACGGCGGCGCAAGCGGTGCAAGTTGCAGGGGAGCGCAAGGCGGGAGTCGACGTGACCCGGCCGCGGGCGGGTGCTGTGGCTCCGTCTGCTCCGCCGCCAGACGTCGCAGCGGTGATCGCCGCGTCGTCTGCGTCGCCTGCGACGGCTGGTGCTCCTGCTGTGGCGCCTCTTCCCCCGTCGCCGTCCCCTGCTGCTCCTGCTGAAGCGAAGACCACGTCAGCCGCCGCATCTGCCGGTAGGTTGGCATGTCATCGCGCTTCAATGCGTTTAAGACTGGCGCCACGACGAGACGCTAATGTGTTCCGAAGGTTGGATGGGAAGTCGACTTCGAGGTTCTTTTCCAATGTAGGCTTCTCGCGTGTCGTCCTTGCTCCCTAGTAGTGCCGGCCTTCGCATTTCTCCGTCTTCCCTCTCATTACTTGCTCCTTCCAATTTTCCCCCTTCCATTCCCTTACTTGCTCCCTCGTGTTGCCCTCCATTTTTCCTCGCATGGCCGTCCTTTCTCCTTTCCCTTGCCGTCGCAGAGTCGCCGGGCGACGCAGCGTCGGCGTCGCAGCGGAACGCGGAGCTGGAGAGGGACAGGGAGAGCGCCAAGCACACGGCGGAGGGGAGCGATGGGCCAATTAAGAAGACTGAGAATCCCATAAGGTGAGCGGAAAGGCTCATGGCAAAATGCAGGAGGTGGTCGTGTGCTTATAGTAGTGAAACTTATTAACATTTTATGTTTATTATGTCTGAATTCTGCATCAATGAATGCGTGGGTCGTTAAAGTTATCGTTACTGCTGCATGGGCTTCCCGTTCGTCAGCAACAAACACAGAGGGCGGGAATGTTGATGCGCTTTTAAAAAGTACGAACTTCAAGATTTATCATCACCTTATCTTGGGAGATAAGAACAGTAGCATCCGCACACGTTATCATGTTTTTTGCAAGATTCCTTACAGCCCCTTCTCCCCGTTTTGTCATGTCTCTCAGCTGCATTTCCCTTCCGCACACCACGACCCCACTTCCCCCACCCCTCCAACACACACTTCTTTCCTTCTCTCTCCTGCCCCCTCATCCTCCCCACCCCGCCCCCTCCCGCATCCTCCCTCCCTCCCCCTGTCTTCCCGCTCAACCAATCAGCATTGTCTTCGTGGCATCCGAGGTGGCACCCTACTCCAAGACAGGAGGCCTTGCTGACGTCACAGGCTCGCTCCCATTGGCTCTGGCGGCACGTGGCCATCGCGTGATGGTGGTGGCGCCCCGGTACATGAACGGCGTCACGGACAAGCTCTATGCTGGCGCGTTCGATTGCCAGGTAACAATGTAACCATCTGTGTGTATGAACAGTGAGTATTACTATGCCCGAATGAATGAATGCATGGTGGTCTGTTACATGAATGGCGTCACGGACAAGCTCTATGCTGGCGTGTTCGATTGCTCTATGCTTCACCCCTCTTCATCCCTCTCCACCCCTCTATACTCGTGCATATACCGTGTGTGCCATCAGTGCCGTATTAAGTGTTTTCTTTACGCGGGAGAGCACGAGGTTCCCTTATTCACCCGTATCCACCCGTCTCCACCCCTCTCCATCCCTCTGTACGCGTCCATCAGTGCCGCATCAAGTGCTTTCTCTCTGAGGGCGAGCATGAGGTGGCCTTCTTCCACGAGTTCCGCGATGGTGTTGACTTCGTGAGTTTCTAGACACGAGTAGGTGTTTTTTGGGTGGCCGTTTTGGGTTGGGTGTTTTTGGGGTGGGCGTTTTTGGGATGGGCGTTTTTGGCTGTTCTTTTGGGTGGGCATTCTTGGAGGTTCCCCTGTGGTGGTGTATTTTCCTGTTTTGATACTTAGGGAATAGAGTTTTAGGTTTTCCCCGTATAGCTCAACAGAGGTGGCCTTGATAAGGTTTGAGTTATCCTGACTTCCTTTGATTCTCGCGCCTAAGCGGCCCTATTGACGATACATTGCCCTTTTCTCCTCGAATCCCCTTGTGCCACGTGGCAACATGGCAGGTGTTTGTGGATCACCCATCTTACCACCGCCCAGGCACGCCCTACGGCGACTCCAGAGGGGCGTTTGGTGACAACCAGGTGAGGGGAAGGAGTGGTGTGCGATGGAGAGCGGTAAGGTGGGGTCGAGTAATCAGGTGTTTGTGGACCATCCGTCCTACCACCGCCCAGGCACGCCCTATGGCGACTCCAGAGGGGTGTTTGGTGACAACCAGGTGAGGGGAAGGAGTGGTGTGCGATGGAGAGCAGTGAGGTGGGGTTGAGTGATTAAGTGCGGTGAGGTGGGGTGGAGTGGTTGGGTGTGGTGAGGTGGGATGGGGGGATTTTATTGTCAGCTCATAAGCAATCAATTTCCTCTCCTTTAAACTCCCCTCATCCTTCTTTCCCCAGTCTCAGTCCACCCATCCCTATCTCCACCCTCCCCCACACCTCTGCACCTCATTCCACTCCGCACTCCGCACCTTAATCACCCGTTCACTTCCTACCCGACCTTTTCTCCCTTGCCTCCCCCCCCCCCCCCCCCCCCCCACCACAGTTCCGGTTCGCGTTGCTGTGCCATGCGGCGTGTGAGGCGCCTCTGCAGTTGCCGTTTGGGGGATTCACATACGGGGAGAAGGTGGTGTTTGTTGCCAACGACTGGCACGCCGGACTCGTGCCTGTGTGAGTGATCTGCTGATGTTCCTGGCTCGTGTCTGTGTGAGTGACGGGTGGGGGAACGGGGGGTACTGCATGCTGAGTGCTCTGAGTGCCTGAAAACGGGGAGAAGGTGGTGCTCGTGGCCAACGACTGGCACGCCGGACTCGTGCCTGTGTGAGTGGCTGGCTGGGGGGAGGGGGGGTATTGCTTTGGGAGTCACTAAGGATTCACGTACAGGGAGAAGGTGGTGTTGGTTGCCAACGACTGGCACGCCGGACTCGTGCCTGTGTGAGTGACGGGTAGTAGGGTGGGAAGTAGGCATGCTGAGTTCTAAGAGCCCACAACGCATATCAATATTTTAAATCCCTGCCCTTGCATTCACACTCTACAAGGACGCGCGCACCATCATCGCCATCCACAACCTGGCCTACCAGGGCGTCGAGGCCGCTTACACCTTTGGCAGCCTGGGCGTGCCTCCTGCTTGCAACCCCCCTCCCCTGCCCTCTACCCCTCATTCCCCCTTCTCTTTCCCCTTTCTCGATCGCTGCGTTCCCTTTTGAACCTCTACTCACAGTCTCGTGGCCTCTAAATATCGCCGCTATGGTGTGTACAAGGACGCGCGCACCATCATCGCCATTCACAACCTGGCCCACCAGGGAGTCGAGGCCGCTTACACCTTTGGCAACCTGGGCGTGCCTGGGGAGTGGTACGGGGCGTGCCTCCTGCCTGCTGCCCTCCCCGCCCCTGCCCCTTCTTTCTGCCCCTCATTCCTCCCCTTCTCCTTCCCCTTTCTCCATCACCCCATCCCCCGCACCCCATGCATGCCCCCAGCCTCGTGGCAGCCAAATACAGGCGTTATGGTGTGTACAAGGACGCGCGCACCATCATCGCCATTCACAACCTGGCCCATCAGGGAGTCGAGGCCGCTTACACCTTTGGCAGCCTGGGCGTGCCTGGGGAGTGGTACGGGGCGTGCCTCCTGCCTGCCTGCTGCCCTCCCCGCCCCTGCCCGTTCTTTCGGCCCCTCATTCCTCCCCTTCTCCTTCCCCTTTCTCCATCACCCCATGCATGCCCCCAGCCTCGTGGCAGCCAAGTACCGCCGCTATGGTGTGTACAAGGACGCGCGCACCATCATCGCCATTCACAACCTGGCCCATCAGGGAGTCGAGGCCGCATACACCTTTGGCAGCCTGGGCGTGCCTGGGGAGTGGTACGGGGCGCTGGAGTGGGTGTTTCCCGAGTGGGCAAGGAAGCATGCTCTGGACAAGGGCGAGGCAGTGAACATCCTCAAGGGGGCGATCGTCACTTCTGACCGCGTGCTCACTGTTAGCCAGGTATGTGGAGGGATGGGTGGGTGGGTGAGTGCATGGGTGAGTGCATGGGTGAGTGCATGGGTGAGTGGGCGAGGAAGCACGCGCTGGACAAGGGCGAGGCAGTCAATATCTTGAAGGGGGCGATCGTCACTTCTGATCGCGTGCTCACTGTTAGCCAGGTGGGTTGTTTGGGTGGGTGGCTGGGTGGGTGGGTGCATGGGTGAGTGGGCGAGGAAGCACGCTCTAGACAAGGGCGAGGCGGTGAACATCCTCAAGGGGGCCATTGTGACCTCCGACCGCGTGCTCACTGTTAGCCAGGTGCGTGGGTGGATGGGTGGGTGGCTGGGTGGGTGGGTGCATGGGTGAGTGGGCGCGGAAGCACGCGCTGGACAAGGGCGAGGCAGTGAACATCCTCAAGGGGGCGATTGTGACCTCCGACCGCGTGCTCACTGTTAGCCAGGTATGCTGGACGTTTCTCTCCCGCACTACCCCACCTTCTCACCTCTCCTGCCTCTTTTCCCCCCTCTTACCCCCTTTACACCTTTTCCCCCTGCCTCTTCCCCCCCCCCCTTTCCCCTCCCTCCTGCTTCCCCCCCCCGGCCCTTCCTCCCCCCTCACACACATAACCTGGTAAAGAAACCCTGAGGTAAAGAAAGAGCTGGGTGGGGTGAGTTCACATCTGAACAACCCTGACTGTGTGTGCCCACGGTGGGGTGGATGAGGGTGGGCATGCCTGGGGAGTGGTTAAAGAAAAAAAACAAAAAGGTCGTTTCTCACACGTGAGTTTCCTCGCGGTTTATTTTCTTCTCGTGCTGCGGGGTTATGCATGGGAAATCACGACAGGCGAGGGTGGATGGGGGCTGGACGGGCTGGCTCTGATTTGAGGAGCCTAAAAAGCATGTTCCTGTCTCATGCCTTTGCTCTTGATTGCTGCAGGGCTACGCGTGGGAGATCACGACAGGGGAGGGTGGATGGGGGCTGGACGGGCTTCTGCGAGGAAGAAGCATCGTGCTGAATGGTGCGTACATCTCCCTCACTCTGTTCTCTTCCACTGCTCCCTCAACACCGTTCTCTCACACTCCGGAACACCTCATCGACCAACGGCATTTGACACTGTACCGTCGACCGGAACCCCACTACTTATGGACAAGCATATTCCGTCACAGTTCACAGCAGAGGATAAAATTTCTCACAACCGTCTCAGTCCCCCATCCTCCTCCCCATCCGCCGCCTTCTCCCCCTTGTCCCTACCTTCCCCTTATCCTCCCACCACAGGAGTGACGAACGGCATAGACACGGTGGAGTGGAACCCTGCCACGGACAAGCACATCCCCTCGCAGTTCACTGCAGAGGACCTGGAGGGCAAAGCAGAGTGCAAGGCGGCGCTGCAGAAGGAGCTGGGGCTGGCTGTGCGGCCAGAGGTGCCCCTGGTGAGTTGTGCTGCCACGTGTCAACCCTGGTGATTCTTGAGGCTTGGAGCCATGCCTTTCCCCCGTTATTGAATGACCTGGGGGGCAAGGCGGAGTGCAAGGCGGTGCTGCAGAAGGAGCTGGGGCTGGCTGTGCGGCCAGAGGTGCCCCTGGTGAGTTGAGCCCTGCCTTGTTAAGCCTTGTGTATTCTCGAGGTTTATGAGTCATCCCACGCACCGACACACAGTGACCTGGAGGGCAAGGCAGAGTGCAAGGCGGCGCTGCAGAAGGAGCTGGGGCTGGCCGTGCGGTCAGAGGTGCCCCTGGTGAGTTGAGCCCCGGCTGGTAGATTCCTCTGTATAACCTTGTGTGTGTGTGTTTACTCTCGAGGGCGGAGTGCAAGGCGGCGCTGCAGAAGGAGCTGGGGCTGGCTGTGCGGCCAGAGGTTCCTCTGGTGAGTTTAGACCCTGGCTGATTAAGCCTTGTGGATTCTCGAGGTTTATGAGTCATCCCACGCACCGACACACAGTGACCTGGAGGGCAAGGTGGAGTGCAAGGCGGCGCTGCAGAAGGAGCTCTGGCCAGAGGTGCCTCTGGTGAGTTGTGCCCTTCAGGGAATGCACTGTTTTCATGTATCAGCATTGTTCTTGTTGTTTCGAAGTTGCTGCGTTTGGAGTAAACCCTTGCTTGCCGCTCTCCCGTTTTCTCCCCCTTGTGACTATGTGTTCCTCCCTCGTCCCCTCATCAGATTGGGTTCATCGGGCGTCTGGACTGGCAGAAGGGGCCGGACGTCATTCAAGCATCGCTGCCTGAGCTCATGACAGACAACGTGCAGTTTGTGAGTGCATAGGCTGGTTCTGCTCCATGGGGCATTGCGGGGAGTGGGGGAAATGGAGGTGGGTTTAGGAATGTGAGGTGCTACACAAAGCGTGATTCAAGCATCGCTGCCTGAGCTCATGACAGACAACGTGCAGTTTGTGAGTCCGCAGGCTGGTGCTACCCCATGCAGCGTTGTGGGGATGGGATTGGGAGGTTGCGGTTGATGTTACTTTTGAGAATTCTCAAAAGTAACATCATCTCAAAAGTAACATCAACACACCTGAGCTGATGACTGACAACGTGCAGTTTGTGAGTCCGCAGGCTGGTGCTGCTCCATGGGGCATTGCGGGGAGTGGGGGAAATGGAGGTGGGTTTAGGAATGTGAGGTGCTACACAAAGCATGATTCAAGCATCGCTCCCTGAGCTGATGACTGACAACGTGCAGTTTGTGGGTCCGCAGGCTGGTGCTGCTCCATGGAGCGTTGTGGGGATGGGAGTGGGGGGTTGCGGTGCGGTTGCGCGGTTGTGACAACACAAAGGTGGAAGCTGGGCGGGTGGGTGGGTGGGTGGGTGGGTGTGGATGAAGCTGAGGGCGCGTTGACCCGCTGTGACCGACAAGTTCCGAGGCTGGGTGGGTGTGGATGAAGCTGAGGGCGCGTTGACCCGCTTTGACCGACAAGTTCCGAGGCTGGGTGGGTGTGGATGAAGCTGAGGGCGTGTTGACCAACAATTTCCGAGGCTGGGTGGGTTTCTCACGAGAACAGGCACTTAGTTCTCCCCCTCATCCTTTTTTTCCACCCTACCTGCTCGTCCTTCCTCGCCCAGGTGATGCTGGGCAGTGGAGAACCGGACTTGGAGGAATGGATGAAGTGGGCGGAGGGCGCTTACCCCGACAAGTTCCGTGGCTGGGTGGGCTTCTCCGTGCCCATGGCTCACCGCATCACTGCCGGGTGAGGCTGGGATGCGATTGCTGTTTTGAGATGATGAATGGACGGCTGAGATTGACACAGAGACAGTCTCGAGGCTGGGTGGGCTTCTCCGTGCCCATGGCGCATCGCATCACTGCCGGGTGAGGCTGAGACGAGTGCATGATTGTTTTGAGATGATGAATGGACGGTTGAGATTAGCGCAGAGACAGTCTCGAGGCTGAGTGGGCTTCTCCGTGCCTGTGGCTGATCGCATCACTGCAGGGTGAGGCTGGGATGAGTGTGAGGTTGTTCTGTTAGTGATCTTTTGGATGGCTTAGAGGCTGGGTGGGCCTCTCTGTGCCCATGCCTCACCACATCACTGGGATAGGTGCAGAAGTTTTGTTTTGGATGGTCGATGACTGGTGGGATTTGCTCATGACTGGGCTGAGATGATGGATGGATGGCTGGGATTTGCTCATGACTGGGCTGAGATGATGGATGGATGGCTGGGATTTGCTCATGACTGGGCTGAGATGATGGATGGATGGCTGGGATTTGTTCATGATTGGGCTGAGATGATGGATGGATGGATGGCTGGGATTTGTTCATGAATCCATCTCCCCTCTCTCCCACCACCCACCATCACTCCCCACCCCTCCTCTCCCCCCCACTCCCCTCACGCCCCCCTCATCTAATCCCATTTCCCGGCCTGCTTCCCATCCCAGCTGCGACATCCTCCTCATGCCGTCGCGCTTTGAGCCGTGTGGGAATGAGCACGCGCGTGGTTTCCCCCTTTCTCCCCCCCCTGCTTCTCATCCCAGCTGCGACATCCTCCTCATGCCGTCGCGCTTTGAGCCGTGCAGAAACTTACCCTCCCCCCCTTCTCCTCTCTTCCCCTCCCCCCCCCCCTCCCCCCCCTCCTCCCGCCCCTCCTCCCATCCCCCCGCTGCCATCCCAGTTGCGACATCCTCCTCATGCCGTCGCGCTTTGAGCCGTGTGGGAATGAATGAGCACGCGCATGTGCATGAGACACCCTTCTCCCCCACTCATTCCCGAACCCCTGTCTCTCTTCTTTCCCCTTTTTCCCTCCCCCCTGCTTCCCATCCCAGTTGCGACATCCTTCTCATGCCGCCGCGCTTTGAGCCGTGCAGAAACTTACCCTCCCCCCCTTCTCCTCTCTTCCCCTCCCCCCCCCCCCCCCCCTCCTCCCGCCCCTCCTCCCATCCCCCTGCTTGCCATCCCAGCTGCGACATCCTTCTCATGCCGTCGCGCTTTGAGCCGTGTGGGAATGAATGAGCACGCGCATGTGCATGAGACACCCTTCTCCCCCACTCATTCCCGAACCGCTGTCTCTCCCCTTTCCCCTTTTTCCCTCCCCCCTGCTTCCCATCCCAGCTGCGACATCCTTCTCATGCCGTCGCGCTTTGAGCCGTGCGGGCTGAACCAGCTGTATGCAATGCGGTACGGAACGGTGCCAGTGGTGCACGCGACGGGCGGGCTGAGGGACACTGTCGAGGATTTCAACCCGTTTGCCAACGGGGGTGCAGGCGCCGGCACGGGGTGGTCCTTCTCGCCTCTTACTCAGGAAGCCATGATGGGGGTACGTTGTTTTGCTTGTTTTGTTCTGGTGGTTGGGATGGATGCTTGGAATGGATGGTTGGGATGGACGGTTGGGATGCATGGTTGGGTGGGATGGATGTTTGGGATGACAGTTTGGATGGATGGTTGGGAGGACAATTTGGATGGATGGTTGGGATGACAGTTGGATGGATGGTTGGGATGACAGTTTGGATGATGGTTGGGATGACAGTTTGGATGGATGGTTGGGAAGGACGCTTGGGATGGATAGTTGGGATGATTGATTAGGATAAACGGTCCTCCCCTCTCTTTCCCACCTTTCCCCACCCAACCCCAATCCTCTGTTCGTTGTTACTGTGCTGCTTCCTTGTTCTGTTACTGCATGCTGTGTCTTCATGTTGTTTCTTCTATTTCTCTGTTCCGTTTCTCTGTGACGATGCCTTATGCCATGTCTTTCTGTCATGTCATGCACACAGGCATTGTGGACGGCCATTCAAACGTACCGTGAGCATGGGGAGTCATGGGAAGGCCTCATCCAGAGGGGTATGACTCAGGACATGTCGTGGAATCGGGCGGCGCAGCAATACGAGCAGATCTTCGAGTGGGCCGTGAAGGACAAGCCATATGCTTAGTTGTTTCACCCACACAACTGTTTCATTTGCTCTCCCATCTGTTTTGCGATCGTTTTATCAAAATTGCTGTTTGGTCTATTTGTTGCAGATGCCACATTGATTCTAGGCTCTGCTATTGATGATGGTTTGATTCTGTAGAAAATAATGATGTTAACCTTTTGAGTACAAAATAATTCGTAGAAGGGCTACAACATACTACGTACAACGACTCTAGGCTCTGCCATTGATGATGGTTTGCTTTGTAGAAGGGCCAATGAACTAGCTTCAAACTAAGTGTTGTGTGCCAATAACGAGTTTATTCGTCTTCCTTTTCAAGAAAGAAGTGGTATTGGTATTTCCTCCACCGGTTCACCCATTCACCACATCTTTCGCACTCGACTGGAAAGTCGCCTTACTTAGTGGTACACGCCTTTCTCATGGCGTCTTCTGCTACACTGTTAGTTCCGTCCGCGTCAGCGAAGTTCGCTGCCGTTTCGCAGCAATGTCCTCCTACTACCGTATCTCTCCGTCGCAATGGTTTTGTGCGAGTTACCGGTACCAGCCACGGACCTTCTTCCAGGCATGTCGTCGAGACAACTCGTCGCTCGGCATTGTGGGTCCTTTTCACCCTATTCAACACATCTAAAGCAACAATGTAGAGAGATTTTAACTATTTACATGTTTGTTTCGTTCGTCCTTCCTTTCAAAACGTCCGTGTTTCGTTCCGCTCTAACCTGCAGATCATCCGTGACCATATCGAAGGGACACAAACGGACGGCTGGACGGCGAGCAATCGCTACAGCGGCGGCAGAAGCGGGTGATGCGGCGATCGACGTGGAGGCCGAGATTAAGAACGAGAAGGTGAGCGAACGAGAAGGTGAGCGAATGAGAAGGTGAGCGAACGAGAAGGTGAGCGAATGAGAAGGTGAGCGAACGAGAAGGTGAGCGAATGAGAAGGTGAGCGAATGAGAAGGTGAGCGAAGGAGAAGGTGAGCGAATGAGAAGATGAGGGAGCGAGAAGGTGAGGTGGTGAGAAGACAAGGGAACGTGAAGGTAAGGACATGAGAAGGTGAGCGAATGAGTAGGTGAAGGAAGGAGTCTGTTGTACGATGAAATGCCAAGAGCGGTGGTGCGAGCAATGCTGGGAGCGATGTTGCAGGCAATGCCAAGAGCGGTGGTGCGAGCAATGCTGGGAGTGATGGTGCAGGCAATGCCAAGAGCGGTGGTGCGAGCAATGCTGGGAGCGATGGTGCAGGCAATGCCAAGAGCGGTGGTGCGAGCAATGCTGGGAGTGATGGTGCAGGCATTGCCAAGAGCGGTGGTGCGAGCAATGCTGGGAGCGATGGTGCAGGCAATGCCAAGAGCGGTGGTGCGAGCAATGCTGGGAGCGGTGGTGCAGGCAATGCCAAGAGCGGTAGGGCGGGCATTTACTAAATCCTCATTTCGCTAGTTAAAAATCAGCACCTGTAAATCAATCCGCCTCAAACACTCCCCTGTCAGATCTCTCAGGTGCTATTATTGGAGGGAGTGGGTTATACTTATCTAATTTGAAAAGTCCCACCCGCCTCAAACTCCGTCCTGTGAATCCCCCCAGGTACTGGTTCTTGGTGGGAATGGGTTTGTCGGGTCCGCTGTGGCAAAAGCAGCAGCTGACAGAGGCATTGACGTGGTCAGCCTGAGCAGGTGCGCGTTATATCTGAAGCTGAGAGCGTTATCTATGGTGTTCAGTAACGGCAGATGTAGCGTGAACAGCAGCTGAGAGGGGAACTGACATGGTCAGCCGGAGCAGATGCATGTCTCTGGTGATGGTGTTCTCTGTTTGGATGTCAGCCGTTTCTGCCACCAACATAAGGAATTTCAACATTCTATTTATGGCAAGCTGACTGCCTGATCCCTCTGTCTCAAAGCCCCTTCCAACCCCACTTTGGTTCAACCATTTTTGACATCCGAACCTCCTTCAGGTCCGGCCGACCCTCCATCTCCAACGAGACGTGGGTGAACAGTGTCACGTGGGAGACTGGTGACGTGTTCTCCGCCAACTAGCCCGTGCTTCTAACAGATGTGACTGTAGTGGTGTCCTGCATTGGGGGGTTCGGCACAGACGAGCAGATGGAGCGGATCAATGGAGATGCCACAGTGGTTGCGGTTGACGCAGCTAAAGACTGTGGTGTGCGCAAGTTTGTGTTTGTGTCGGTGCATGATTATAACCTGCCCGATTTCGCCAAGCGGAATGGATACTTCAATGGGAAGAAAAGAGCTGAGACTGCGGTTTTTGACGCATTCCCCAACACAGGTGTGGTTCTTGCTCTCTTCTTGCTTTCCTGCGCATCTCTTCAATCCCATTGCAGCCGTCTCTTTTCCCGCAAGCTCACTTAACCTTGCCAACTCCAGTTTTTCTCCCTTTCCCCTGACTTATTACCATTATCTTTTGCTGTTACTAGCTATGGTTCCTTACCAGCTCGGTGAAATGCGCCTCCCTCTTCCCTCTTCCAAGGCTGTCCAATATTTATTTCCCCTCAACCCCAATCATGTGATTTGTCAAACGTTTCTCCTCATCCAACGTGCCAGGAGTTGTGTTGCGTCCGGGATTTATCTACGAGAAAAGGCGAGTAACGGGGGGTGTGGAGGTTCCGCTTGATGTGATTGGCCAGCCACTGGAGAAGCTGCTGTCAGCCACTAAGGAGATCACAAAGCTGTTTTCCCCTCTTCCGGCTTCCGACCTGCTTTTAGCGCCTCCAGTAGATGTTGCTGATCTCGCAGCTGTAGCGGTGCGAGCCGTCGTCGATGACTCGGTTTCAGGGGTGTACAATATAGAGGACATCAAGAGGCTGGCAGGTGACTTCAAGTAAATTATAGAATGAACTGTGCATTGTGTTGAGTTAATTTACACAATATGTGTTTCGTTGAACATTATGGATATGTAGGGCCATGACTGAAGTGTTCTCCAATGAGTTGACTGTTGGTTGGTGGTGGGACCACTTGTGTGAGAGTGAGGGGCCAGCGCCAACTGTGTGCTGCCACGGGACGACATGACAGGTGTGGCGCTGCTGATCTGGGCTCAAGTAACGTCAGCAACAGCTCGAACTGCCCCACCTCACTCCCCCTCACCTTTGCGCGGAGACGAATCCGCGCCTCTAGGCGGGAGGGCGAATGGCGAGAAGCCACTGGCTGCTACTTTTCTTGGCAGTTCTTGGGAACTGCGTTCTGCAAATTTTGATGTCCGCTACTGTCGCCCTCGGGAAACCCGCCAAATGTGACAACATCTCCGAGGCTTCCAGCATCCAGCGTATTTTTTATGCGTATGTGTCGCTCCAACCTCATGCGAAAGGCCTCGATTCGGTTCGCAAATTCACCAATGTGTCGTCGCCAGCACGCAAAATTGGACCACTCGCACATCTGACCTCTTTTTTGGTTCGTTCAAGATCAGTGACCCGACGGAGTCGGGTCAGTGCACCGCCGCAGATAAACACGTCCCCACCTCTCGAAGTTGGTTGAGATTTGTGGGTGTTCCAAGGAGCATCTGAAGTTGAGTTTCGGATGCTGGATTTCAACTAAATCAATTGAGAGCTCAGGCATCAGAAGCATTCAGCTCAGCTCAGCCTCCTTTGCTTGGATCAGGAGGAAGTGGTGTATTTGATTCGTCAGTAGCCTGTTCTTCCTCCTGACGCATCTGGGCGTTTCACATCAGAACAGGTGTTATTTGCTGTCGTACGTTGAGGTAGGTAATGGATGTCGTTAGTTAATCAGAACATCTGTCGGACTGATTTCGCTCTTCAACCACGCCATTTGGAAAGATATAGTTCTCTTGTACACGCATTAGCCTTCCCATTCGTTCCTCATTTGTTTCGTCTCGCGTTTTATCACACAGAAACCAAATATGGCCCGGAAAAAGATCCGAGAGTACGACTCCAAGCGCCTCCTGAAGGAGCACCTGAAGCGCCTAGCCGGAATCGATCTGACGATCAACTCTGTCCAGGTGGGAGCACTTTTTGTCTCGCATGTGTATTCTACATGGCGGACCTTCGGCGTGAACCGCAGTTACCAATGAGACACATCATCTTTGTTAGTTTCAATCCGCTTCGTGCAACTGAATCTGAGATTGATTTTCCTGAAATTTCGTGCAATGTCCAACCTATTTTGTCTCAATAGATCACATCGGAGACGGATTTCGCGAAGCTCGCGAACGAGCAGCCATGGATGAACAGCACCCGCATGGTGGTGAAGCCAGACATGCTCTTCGGCAAGCGAGGCAAGAGCGGCCTGGTGAGCCATATGTGCTGGTTATCCATCCCGTCTTGGTGAGCCATTTACTGTTGGGGACTCAAAAGTCTTTATGCGAGGCAAGAAGAACCTGGTAAGTCATTACCTGTCCCTTCATGAGGTAGCAAGCTCTAGTTTCCGATGCCACCAACCCTCCCTCATTGTCGTATTGATCTTCAGCTGGTAAATCTCCTTCGTCGTTTCATCTCTCAGGTGCCTTTGGACTTCGCAGAAGTGCCTATTGAGTTGACTCGAACGACATCCTTAAGCTATCAGCTCCTTTTTTCTTTCTCGCACCCTCCATCTCAGGTGGCTCTCGACCTGGACTTCGCAGGAGTAGAGGCATTCGTTAAGAGCAAGCTCGGCAAGGAGGTAAGCGCCTGTGCTCTGTGCGTTTAAGCGACATTGAGCTTGCTCCGCTCCTTCAAGGTTCGTTGTAATGATTGGCTTGTTGATAGTAGCAGCTGTCAACGAGACGAATCTCCCGCCTGGAGGTTGACAGAAGGCCACCTGGTGGCTCCATTGCGTCACGCATTTCAAAAAAAAAAAAAAGGTGGAGGTTCACGGAGTTGTTATTGTTATTCTTTCTGGTTCACGTGTCGTTTGCAGGTGGAGATGGGGCAGTCCAAGGGCCCCATCACGACGTTCATAGTGGAGCCGTTCATCCCGCACACGGAGGAGTACTACCTCTCCATCACCTCCTCTCTCTGTGCCTCTCGCTGTGCCTCCAACAGGTGGAGATGGGGCAGTCCAAGGGCCCCATCACGACGTTCATAGTGGAGCCGTTCATCCCGCACAAGGAGGAGTACTACCTCTCCGTCACCTCCAAACGCCTCGGCTGCGACGTGAGCTTCTCCGAGTGCGGCGGCGTCAATATCGAGGAGAACTGGGACAAGGTGAGGAGGGGACGAGCCGGGGGGAATAGGGGGTGGATGGGGGTAGAAGTGGGATGAGGTGAGATGGGGGGGCGCAGTGAGGAATGGGGGATGGAAAGGAGCATGGGAAGGAATGGGATACGATTGGTGTACTGGTGAGGAGTTCGGCTGCTAAGCTTTTACACGTGTGCACTGCTGTGATGTGTGCTCATATAACGTGTGCTGTTATGTTGTGTGCTGTTTTGGGTTGTGCTGTTCTGGCGTGTGCTGTCGTGGCGTGTGCTGTCATGGCATGTGATCTTATGGCGTGTGCTCTTATGTCGTGTGCTGTTATGGAGAGCACTGTGTGTGTGCTATTATGCTGCGTGGGGTGTGCCACGCCATGTATTGCACCCATGACTCATTGCATGATTGCAACCATGACTATCATTGGCAGGTGAAGACCATCTTCGTGCCCACAGAGTCGGAACTCACATCAGAGCTCTGTGCGCCGCTCATTGCCACTCTGCCCCTCGAGGTGCGGCCCCCTTCTCTCCCTTTCTCTCTCCTTCTCTTCCTGTCTCATTGCCTCTCCTTCTTGAATCACGCCTCCCTTTCCCTTGAAGTCCATTCCGTTGCTCGCTCCCTCCGTCCCTTTCCGCGTCACGCCAGCATTCGCGCTACTCCCGCCCATGACTCCATAACAGGAGTCACTTAGCTTCTCAGCTCTCTGTTTTTTCTTACCCTTTAATCCCACGCTCCATGCGCCCGCTCTTTCTTTCCTGACCTCTCTGCAGGTGCGGGAGAGCATGGAGAAGTTCATCAAGGGCGTCTTTGCTGTCTTCAAAGGTAATACCATCCTCTCATGCATCATTCGTTTTTTTATTCCTCACCCTGTCAATATGCCCCAACCTCTCCACCGTACCTGGATTGCATCTTGTTATCGATTGGGAGCCAGCTATGTAAGGCGATCGTCCCTCACATTTCTTCCCCCCACCCTCTCCTTTTATCCCCCTTCCCCCTTCAGACCTGGACTTCACACTGATAGAGATGAACCCCTTCATTTTGGTCAACGGGGAGCCCTTTCCCCTCGACATGCGTGGCGAGCTTGACGACACGGCACAGTTCAAACACTTCCAGAAGTACGTTTAACTGGGCGCACGCACGCTGCCTCACAATCTATAGCCTCAACTGTAGCTCGGTTGGCTTCTGATAGGTTTGTTCCCCCCGGACTGGACTCGACATGCGGGGCGAGCTCGACGACACGGCACAGTTCAAGCACTTCCAGAAGTACGTACACTCATTCACTCACTGCCTTGCAACTCACAGCCTAAGGATCCGCCCCCCCCTTTCCCCTCGACATGCGTGGCGAGCTTGACGACACGGCGCAGTTCAAACACTTCCAGAAGTACGTCCCATTCAGTGCCCTCTGCCTTGCAAGCTGTAGCCTCAACTGTAGCTGGTTTGGCTTCTAATAGGCCTGTTCCCCCCTGTGGGAACTGGACATGCGTGGCGAGCTTGACGACACGGCGCAGTTCAAGCACTTCCAGAAGTACGTTCACTCACTCCATATATCACACTTCATCACAGTCTAAACACTTGCAACGCACAGCCTATGATGTAGGCCCCTATCTGACCTCGACATGCGCGGCGGATGGATGCCACATCTTAGGCGCATGTTTTAATCCATCCGCCCGGGCGGATGGATGCCACAGCGCAGTTCAAACACTTCCAGTGACTCGAATTTCTGTGTCGACTCAAAGTGATTATTTTCTCCGCCACCCCCCCTCCACTGCACACGAGTGCAGGTGGGGCGATGTGGCATGGAGAATTGACTCGGAAGTGCTTTGCGAGTTGACGGAAAGTAATCCCTGTCTCCCCAACGCCCCCTCCCCTCGACTGCGCACGAGTGCAGGTGGGGCGACGTGGAGAATTGGCTCGGAAGTGCTTTGCGAGTTGACTAAAAGTAATCCCTGGCTCCCCAACGCCCCCTCCTCTCAACTGCGCACGAGTGCAGGTGGGGCGACGTGGAGTTTCCTCTCCCCTTTGGCCGCACCATGTCTCCTTCCGAGGAGAGGATTCACGAGATGGATGAGAAGGTGAGCGTAAGGAGCGTGAATATGGGACCTTTCAGTGTGAGGATGGGTGGGCCTTCCAGTCTAACTTCGGGTGGGCCGGCCAGTGTGACTATGGGTGGGGCTGTGAGTGTGACCGTTGGGGGCCTGACAATGGCCTGTGGGACATGTCGTGTGTGCCATGCCTGATCAAGCCATCACTCCCTTCCCCGGGCCCACTGTTTCCCCCCTTTTCCTTTCGCACAACTCCTTTTGTTCTGATCCCTTCTCCTTTCCGACAACTCCTCTGTTTTTCCACATTTTTCCTTCCCTCATTTCCCCTTCCCCCATCTCCTCTGTTTCTCCCCCCCCTCCCCCCCCATCTCCTCTGGTTTCCCCCATTCTCACTTCCCCCCAAATCCTCCGTTTTCCAATCTCAGCAATATCAATCTCCCTTCCCCTCTCGTGTATCTCCACTCCCCTCTCCTCCCATCAGACGGGGGCCTCGCTCAAGCTCACCATTCTGAACCCCAAGGGCCGCATCTGGACCATGGTGGCTGGAGGAGGAGCTTCCGTCATCTATGCCGACACTGTACGTTGAGGAGGTGTTTTTGAGAGTTCTAAGGTGTTTTTGAGAGTTCTAAGGTGTTTTTGAGGATTCTCAAAGACACCATTCTGAACCCCAAGGGGCGCATCTGGACCATGGTGGCTGGAGGAGGAGCTTCCGTCATCTATGCTGACACTGTACGTTGAGGAGGTGTTTTTGAGAGTTCTAAGGTGTTTTTGAGAGTTCTAAGGTGTTTTTGAGGATTCTCAAAGACACCATTCTGAACCCCAAGGGGCGCATCTGGACCATGGTGGCTGGAGGAGGAGCTTCCGTCATCTATGCCGACACTGTACGTTGAGGAGGTGTTTTTGAGAGTTCTAAGGTGTTTTTGAGAGTTCTAAGGTGTTTTTGAGAGTTCTAAGGTGTTTTTGAGGATTCTCAAAGACACCATTCTGAACCCCAAGGGGCGCATCTGGACCATGGTGGCAGGCGGAGGGGCTTCAGTCATCTATGCCGACACTGTACGCCCCTCTCCCACTTTCATTAAAGTTTTCTTTTTGTGTTTACTATTGAGGCGCCTCTCAAAGGACTGGACCATGGTGGCGGGAGGAGGGGCGTCCGTCATCTATGCCGGCACTGTACGCCCCTCTCCCCCACTTTCTTTAAGCAAGCCCTACAAACAAAAATCTCTTAACTAAACAAAGCCGCTGCCACGCAACGTCATGCCTCCTAAGTGGGGTTTCACGGGGGCCTCGCTCAAGCTCACCATTCTGAACCCCAAGGGGCGCATCTGGACCATGGTGGCTGGAGGAGGGGCGTCTGTCATCTATGCAGATACTGTACGCCCCTGTCCCCCTCGTTCAACCGCTTTGATGCACTAGATCATAAGCCAATGCTGAGTGTTCCTGTCCCATTTCGCATTCGCTCCTCCTGCATAGCTTATGCATATGTCTTGCCCTTCCTTCTGTCCCTTATTTCGTCTGGGCTGTACCTCTCTGTGGGATGCAGGTGGGGCAACTATGCAGAGTACAGCGGAGCGCCCCCTTGTCCGTGTCTAAGCCTCTGTCTTCCTCTCTCCTGCGTTGGTGCTGTGTGTTTGTGCATCTGTGTCTGTGCCTCTGTGCAGGTCGGGGACTTGGGCTACGCAGAGGAGCTGGGCAATTATGCAGAGTACAGTGGAGCGCCAAACGAGCAGGAGACACTGCAGTATGCTCGTATCTTAATTGACGTGAGTCTCTCACAATCTAGGATTTCTTAGCCTCTTAACATAGCTCCCTGCCTGCAAACAAGGCATGCCAACAACTCCATGCCTAATACTGCTGCTTCCCGCCCGCCCACCCTACCGACCGTCCCTTCTGCCCGTCTCTCCACACTCTACCTCGCTCTTCCTCGTCCATCTTCCATGCGCCACAAATAGTTCCAATTGCCATCCATGCATGCTGCTCATTTGTGGAGGCATAGCCAACTTCTCACCTTTGCCTTTCTCGGTTTGCCACTTGTTCTCCCATTCCCCTTTTCCCCCCACCTTTCCAACTTCAGTGCGCCACCGCCAATCCCGATGGCCGTCCACGCGCGCTGCTGATTGGTGGAGGCATCGCCAACTTCACAGACGTGGCCAAGACGTTTTCCGGCATCATTCGGGCGCTCCGAGAGAAGGTAAGCTGCTGGGAGTTGCAGATGAAAAGGCTTTTGAGGCGACTCAAAAGCAACTTCACAGACGTGGGGAAAGGTCTTTTGAGGCGACTCAAAAGCAACTTCACAGACGTGGCCAAGACGTTTTCCGGCATCATTCAGGCGCTCCGAGAAAAGGTAAGCTGCGAGGTGTCACGTACAGAAAGAAATGTTGTAACTTTCAGATTTATCAAAAGTGAATAAAACCTCACCATTCTGACTCCCCTGGAGCATCACGGATGGAAAGAGTGAGTGTCGAGTCGCACATGCATGTGACTTGCCAATGTTTCACGTCGTTTCCCCTTCTTCAATTGCCTTCGGTCTCTAACCATCCCTTCCCTCACCTCTCTCCGTCACCTCACGCCCACCTGTAGAATCCCACAATTAGAAAAGCACGTATAGCACAAACCCCCATCTGTCCTCTTTCCGTGCGCCGTCTCTCTCCATATGCCCATTATATTCATGCATGTGCCTCACTCACCATCCCCACCCTCCCTTGTCTCTCCACCGGGAACGGCACATCAAGGACGCCAAAGTGTGTATCTTCATGTTTGTGTCCCTCACTCACTCGCCATGCCCATACCCCATATCCCACCCTCCCTTGTCCCTCCACCAGGAACGGCAGATCAAGGACGCCCAGCCTACCACCAGTTACGGCGCCTTAATAGTAGTCTCTATATGCCTATTCCGCACACCCACCACCCTCCCTCATCCCTCCACCAGGAGCGGCAGATCAAGGACGCCCAGCCTACCACCAGTTACGGCGCCTTAAGAGTAGTGTCTATATGCCTATTCCCTCCCTTGCCCCTCCACCAGCAGCGGCAGATCAAGGACGCCCAGCCTACCACCAGTTACGGCGCCTTAAGAGTAGTCTCTATATGCCTATTCCCTCCCTTGTCCCTCCACCAGCAGCGGCAGATCAAGGACGCCAAGGTGCGTATCTTCATGCGTGTCTCTTTGCTCAACATGCCCATACTCTTCGTGTGTGTCTCTTGTCCCTCCACCAGGAGCGGCAGATCAAGGATGCCAAGGTGCGCATCTTTGTGCGCCGTGGAGGGCCCAACTACCTCAAGGGGCTGGAGAAGATGCGCGAGCTCGGCACCGAGATTGGCATCCCCATCCAGGTGCGTGTGTGGGGCAAGGATGGCAGGATGTGAGATGAGATGTCTCTCAGAACACAGCCCAGTGACCTCAAAGGGCTTGAGCTTGGCACCGAGACTGGCATTCCCATCCAGGTGTGTGAAGCAAGGTTTGCGTGAATTGAGATGTTTCAGAGGCAAGGAACCCAACTATCACATAAGGAGGGAAATAAAAAACTTGGGGGAAACTGGATGTTTTGTTTTGTTGCAATTTGAGCAGGCCCTTCTTGTGGATGCGACCCTTCCTCACACTTTTCCCCCGTCCGTATCTTGCCCTTGCTCTTCCGCCCATGTACTCCCATGGGAGTATATTCACAGGTGTATGGTCCTGAAGCCAGCATGACCTGCATTTGCAAGGAAGCAATTGATTATGTGGCCTCTGCTGCTGCCTGATTCCGAAGCTACTAAGGGCTGAATCATCTGTTTATATCATGCATGCGTACAAATATCGGTGGAATATTTGTTATGTAAGCTATAGAGAAGCAGAAGCGTGTGTGCAGAATCAGTGCCATAAGGAGCATAAGTGTGCTTCATTTCAATTTGATATGAGTTTTTGTGTTGTGGAAATTAGTACCAAGAGTCATATTCTGGCCAGCTCAAAAGCAAAATTCCTGTCTGAACCCGGAATCGAACCGGAGACCTCCAGTGTGTGAGACTGGCGTGATAACCGCTTTATTTACAATCTATATGTGTACAAAAGATACAGACGGATTTGAGCATCAGGAGGCTACCTAACTAGCAATGGCCCAACTGCAATCCTAGGTTGAGACCCCCAATGAGGTCTCAAGAACCAACACCAAGGTACGCAAAGTCAGCCAAGGAGGGTGGGGTGGGATCTGGTGGGGCGGAGGGTGTGTCAACACTGTAACGAATTTGTGTCCGACGGCAGATGGTTCGAGCCTGCTCACGCTGGTGCACCAAGGAAATCCTCTTGAAGTAGCTAGTCTCGAAGAGCTCTGGAATCAGGTCAGATGCACCACCCATGTCACGAAGTCGAGTCGCCCCTCGTCTGCTGCAGTCTTTGATGAAGCTGAGAAATGCCGTGCTGAAGCAACCGAAGGTTTCAAGAACGAGAGGAAGAAGCTTCACGTCTGGGCGGTTTTGTAAGGAAGATGCATACAGGGTCCGCTTCTCAGTTTCACGAGCAGATGCAGCTGAGCCGATTACTGATGCAGTCTTGGAGTTTGGGGGACCATGCTGCGGGTCTGCAACTGAAACATCTAATGCCCACGTAGTCCCAGAGCTGATATCACGGCAGCTGATGTCTGGGCGACGTCCTGAAAGAAGGTGGGAGTCCTCCAGCTGTACGACGTAACCAAGCTCGGACGTGATGCGATGAACCTCAAGCTTGATGGCGTCGTGGACCCTGGTAGGCTCGTTAGAGGATGGGCAGCGGAGGACGTGAGAGACGACTGAAGGGTCTGTGAATGCCGAGCCACAAGTGCATGTGCGGGTGGTCGTGAGGTGTGGAATGGGGAGGCCAAGACGAATAGCGGCTGCAATACACCACTCCGTAGGTGACAGCTGCATATGCGAAGAACATGGAGCCACAGTAAGCCAATCGCCAGCATGGGGCCCTTGTAGGGAGGTTAAACGGGCCAAATGTTGGGGAGAGGTTACTGTGGATCGCACGCGCTCGAGCATGACAGCCTCCAAGTGCTGTGAAAGGTAGGAATATAGCTTCTGTGGATAGCCAGCGTGAAGTGCGGGCCAGGTAGGGAAGTGCTGCCGAATGGTAGGATGAAGTTTGGACATGGATGTGGGAATGCATGGGTCAAGGCGGTCCATGGTGTCTGAAGCGATGAAGGGACGGAAAATAGGGGAGCCATGAATGGTGAAGCATGACGAGAGGAGTGAAACTGTCTGTGCCCAGCTGCACAGGTAACTGAGAGAAGCAGTTGCAGCTGAAGAACGGAGGCCGAACCCACCAAGGCGAATGGGAAGGAATGGCTGTCGGTGTGCTGTGGCAGTGCGGTCAAACGCAGGAGGCCAGTAGTCAGAGCCGATGAGGCGAACAAAGTGGTCCAGCAAGGTGTTGTCCCAGTCAGTGTAAAGCTCTTCTACCTCGGGAAATGGTGCAACTGTGCGGAGGAGGAATGAGGGACGGGCGGAAATGCAGAGAGTAAGGAGGCGAGAGGCAGTCTGTGGATCATGAAGGTCATGCAGGAGAGGCAGTGATGAAGAGAAAGAGTGCAGTTTGTCTCGAACTGTGGAGATAATGTGGGTGTCCGATCCGATAGGCACTCCTGCAACCGTGAGACCGTTAGGGGCAATGATGATGTCTGATGGAGGTGTGAGGTCCGAAGGGAGGTCCAAAGGGGCCCAGAGGGAGCATTTTGATGGTTGCACCCTCAGGCCCAGGTCATTGAGACGGGCTGTAAGCGCTGTGTAGGCAGGAAACACGTCATGCGCAGGACCGACCATGTACGTGTCGTCTGCGTAGGAGGTGATGAAAAGAGCTGGAGATTGACGCTAGATGGGGCGAATGGCTAGGTGCTGGGTGAGGGCGAACAAGAATGGCCCGCATGGGTCACCCTGTCGAACACCCGATGATGACTGCAGTGTCTCGATTAATGGGCCGCTGCGGTAATGGAGAGAAGAGGGGGAGGCATAGAAGAGGCGGAAGAAAGGGATGAGGCTGGAAAACGGGGAGTCTCGCAGGGCGTTGAACATAGCGGAACGGCTGAAGGAGTTGAAGGCGTTGGCAACATCCAGTTCCAGCACAACCCACTCTGGGTGGAGGGAGAGGGCCGACTGGACTGCATGGGCCATAACCTCGATCCCTGCGGAGACGGCGACCCCAAATTGTAGGGAGGGAAGGAAGAAGTCCCGGATCTGCTGCTTGAAGTGAAGAGTAACGCAACGGGACAGCAGGCGCGGCAGTATCTCGCCGATGGCGATGGGGCGGACCCCTCCATGCGGCTTCTGGAGGGCAACAAGATTGGATGCGGTGAAGTAAGGTCGAACTGTTTGCGGGAGGTCGCCTTGCAGCCAATTCTGGAACAGGCGGAGAAGATGCGGCAGATGAGTCTGGTACGAGAGGAAGGTGTCGCGAAGATGCTCGATAAGCCACCCCGAAGGGCCAGCAGCTGTGCCTCGTGGGGCTGAACGCAAGGCCTGATGAAGAAGTGGAATGGTGAGCTGAGGCACTTCCGAAGGCGAGAAGTCGGGCAGCCAGTCTGGAAGTTCTTCGGTAGCATGAGGGTGCTTGGCCTTAAGCGCAGTAACAGTTTCAGGGGTCTGTGGGGCAAGCTCGCCAGCTTCTAAAGCGGCAAGGGAACGCGACCAGTCCCCGCAATGCGCGAATCGTTTGGCTCGGTTCAGTCGGGCGAACGTGGCTGTGGACCGGGCGGATGAGACACTGTGCGGTCGAGACGCTGGAACGGCAGCAGCAACAGCTTCGTTGAAGAGAGAAAGCCAGTCGCCTTGAATGAAACGACGTGCAAAGGCTGCACATGTTGCTGTGGCTGATTGTGAGGCAGGATAAATGGAAGAGCGAAGCACCAGACGGGGGAAAGCAAGGAGGAGGAAATGAGCAGCAGGATCTTGCGGGAAGATGGCAAGGCGGCGAAGTGGTATGAGTAAAGCATCCAAGACCAGCAGGCGAGCTCGCGGCGGAATCCGACGCAACAGTGTGCCTGGGGTGACAGTGGGACTGAAGAACGTCCCCCAGTCCCAGGTTACGACAGCGTCCCAAGTCTGTTGAGATATCGGTGGGGGTGCTGTAGAGGAGGAGGGAGTAGTAGTGGCACGAGGAGGAGGAGGGCGGACTGATTGCTGACGCGTTGTGTTGTTGCGGGAACAAGCAGAGAGGTGGCGAGTAAGACCACCCGAGCTGGCAAAGTTACGATTACAGGTTTTGCAGTAATATGTTGGGGTCGGGACCGAAGTGGGCAAAGGAGAAGAAGAGGCTGCAGCAGGATGCGGAGCAGATGTCGAAGCAGGAGGAGGAGCAGAAGGAGGAGGTTGTGAAGTTTGCGCAGCTGCAGGTTCAGGTTGGCGAGAAGCGTGCTCTTGGGAGGAGGAGGCTAAGGCTTCTGTAAGGACTTTAGTGCGATTTTAGACATAATAAGAACTGTTACTAATTTTGATAACCAGCACTCGGCAACCCATTGATCGCCTCAACGATCATCAAAGCATCATTGAATTCACTGATCAGCCATGGCTGCCGCCGGCCATTTGGGCCATGGGTCCTCCGCTGCGTGGAAACGCGCCGTGCTTCTCGCCGTCTGCGTCACCGGCATCTGGGCGGCGTACCTCACGCAAGGCGTCGTGCAGGAGAATCTGTAATTGTCCTCTCTCAACTTGAAACTCCTTAGCTGTTTGATGTTGACAGACGACTGTTTTGGTAATCTCTAGCCGCTCGATTCTTCAGGAGGGTTGATTATGAAAGGTTATAGCCGTTGGATATTGCAGAATTGCACAATGACCGCTGATTCCGTGGTTTCGTCACGTAGGGCTGTCGTTACCGCCGTTTGCGACGAAGACAGTAATTTCGCATAGCGAGTCTCGAATTCAGCACGAGAACAATAGCGCATTGCGATCCAAATCCCAGTCAATTTCAAGAGCGATGTGTTCATTCCGAGGCTTACTCATTTCAATCATGAGGCTTTCTTGGTTCATTCCTTCAAGAATAAGTAAAGAATTAGTTTTTCCGCGGATCGCTGTTCGCAATTTGCAATGTCTCCTTCCTTTCTTCCCTCTCCTTCCCTCCCTCACCCCATTCAGCTCCACGAAGCGGTTCGCGCCGGACAACACGCGGTTCGAGCACCTGGCCTTCCTCAACCTCGCGCAGAGCCTCGTCTGCTCCATCGTCGCCTTCCTCAGTGCGTCGCATGCCTACCCACCTCCCATATTTTCTACCTCCTCTCTTTCCCTCCCTTCCTCCCTCTATACCTCCCTCTCTCCTCCTTCTCTACTTCTCTCTTCTCAAGCTAACATTCCTCAACCTCGCGCAGAGCCTCGTTTGCTCCATCGTCGCCTTCCTCAGTGCGTTGCATGCCTACCCACCTCCCATATTTTCTACCTCCTCTCTCTCCCTCCCTTCCTCCCTCTATACCTCCCTCTCTCCTCCTTCTCTACTTCTCTCTTCTCAAGCTAACGTTCCTCAACCTCGCGCAGAGCCTCGTCTGCTCCATCGTCGCCTTCCTCAGTGCGTTGCATGCCTGCGTACCTCCCTCTCTGTCTCCTACTCCTCCCGCTCTCCCTCCTCTCTCTGGCCTTTCTCAACCTGGCGTTTCTCAACCTCGCGCAGAGCCTCGTCTGCTCGCTCGTCGCCTTCCTCAGTGCGTGCCTACCTCTCTCTCCTCTTTCCAGTTCGAGGTGACTGACTTTTGTGTCACTCCTTCCTTTTGTCGCCTCTCACCTTCCTTTCTTGTGTCACTCAACATTCTGGGCACCAACATGAGGTGACTTTTGAGTCGACTCAAAAGTCACCTCGTTACAATGGCACACGACACTTTTTCTTGTGTCACTCAACATTCTGGGCACCAACATGACAGTCAGTGCAATGCAACCGCCTCTGCTCTCCTACTGGCTGCCATCTTGCCCTCTCGCCCTCATCTCACTCTCCTCCTCGTCCTCACCTCTCTCTCGCCTCTCGCGCTCCTCTCCCACCCCCATCCTCCAGTGCTCAACATCCTGGGCACCAACACGAGAGTGCAGCCACCGCTGCTGTCCTACTGGCTCCCCTTTCACCTTCTCACTCTCATCTCACTCTCCTCCGCGTCCTCACCTCTCTCTCTCTCCTCCCCCACTTCCCCCACCTCCAGTGCTCAACATTCTGGGCACCAACATGAGAGTGCAGCCGTCGCTGCTGTCCTACTGGTTCCCATTTCACCTTCTCACTCTCATCTCACTCTCCTCCGCGTCCTCACCTCTCTCTCTCCTCCCCCCCTTGCCCCACCCCCTGAAGTGCTCAACATCTTGAGCACCAACATGACAGTGCAGCCACTGCTGCTGTCCTACCCCTTCCACTCGCATCCCCTCATGATATCACAATCTCTTCTCCCACCTCCCTTCCTCCTCCTCACCCTCCAGTGCTCAACATCCTGAGCACCAACATGACAATGCAGCCGCCGCTGCTGTCCTACCCCTTCCACTCGCATCCCCTCATGATATCACAATCTCTTCTCCCACCTCCCTTCCTCCTCCCCACCCACCAGTGCTCAACATTCTGGGCACCAACATGACAGTGCAGCCGCCGCTGCTGTCCTACTGGCTGCCCGGGGTTACCAACACCATCGGCCCCGCGTGTGGTCTCATCGCTCTTAAATACATCTCCTACCCCGCCCAGGTGCGTGGCTGATCTCTCTGGCCTTTTGATAAAGCCTTCAAAACGTCTGGTCGTTCTCAGAGAATCCCCTTTATCTTTCCCAGACGCACTGCAACCAACGTGCTGCTGCTGCAACCATTGCTCAGTTTCACTTCCCTTCTCTCTATAATCTGAACCAGTCTCGTGCCGTTTTCACCCTTGTGCTGCTCCCTCCCTCGTGCACCTTACACGTATCTTCTGTTGATAAATCATTCACTTCTTTCGTCCTGTATTTTTCCTTTCCGAATTTTAATCATCAATTCATGTGTATCAGGTCCTGGCCAAGTCATCCAAGATGATTCCAGGTATGTGCCCCCCCACCACCTTGTGAGCTGAGTCTAAATCTGAGGCGCCGAAAAAAATCAGCAGCCCTCGTATCAGGTCCTTGCCAAGTCATCCAAGATGATTCCAGGTATGTGCGACATTTGTGAGGCGCCACCACGTGGTGACATTTTAGTCGACTCAAAAGTCACCAGGTATGTGCGACATTTGTGAGGTGCCACCACCCCACCTTGTAAGCTGAGACGATTCTTGAGGCACCCAAACAATCTATCGTCCTTAATCAGGTCCTGGCCAAGTCATCCAAGATGATTCCAGGTATGTGCCCCCCCACCACCTTGTGAAGGTTTTCTACAAGGTTTTCTACAAGTTTTTCTACAAGGTTTTCTGCATGTCCATGTGTTACTATGTTTTGTGTATTTACATACCTTATGTGTATATACATTCCACAGCACAACTGAGTGGCTACATGTCTCCTCCCCTCCTCTGCCCCTCCTGTTTACGCACACTCCCATGCTGTCCCATGCACTCCCATGCACTTCCACACACTCCCGTGCACTCCCATGCTAGGGGGGGGCATCATCTATGGGGTTCGCTACACTATTTCAGAGGCCACCTGTCTCCTTCCCTCACTCTGCCCTTCCTGTTTACGCGCACTCCCATGCACTCCCATGCACTCCCATGCACTCCCACACACTCTCACACACTCCCAGTGATGCTAGCGGGAGCAATCATCTATGGGGTGCGCTACACTCTTCCGGAGTACATCTGAGTCGATGCTTGTCTCCTTCCCTCGCTCTGTCCTTCCTGTTTACGCACACTCCCATGCACTCCCCATGCACTCCCCATGCACTCCCCATGCACTCCCCATGCACTCCCCATGCATTCCCACACACACTCTCACACACTCCCAGTGATGCTAGCGGGGGCAATCATCTATGGGGTGCGCTACACTCTTCCAGAGGAAGTGATGCTACACACTCCCCATGACCACGTGTTTCCTTCCCTCCCCATCCACTCCCACACACTCTCGTGCATATACTCAGTGATGCTAGCGGGCGCAATCATCTATGGCGTGCGCTACACTCTTCCCGAGTACGTCTGAATCAATACGTGTCTCCTTCCCTCCTTCACTCCCACACACTCCCGCACATTCTCTCACATACTCAGTGATGCTAGCAGGAGCCATCATCTATGGGGTGCGCTACACTCTACCGGAGTACGTCTGCACTCTGCTTGTCGCCGGGGGAGTTTCCATGTTTGCCCTCTTTAAGGTGGGTTGTTTCCATTTCAACACTCATGCTTCCTCATGCCCCTGTTTTTTCCACTCGGCCCCTGCTCTCCTCCATCTGGCCTCCCCATCCCCGCCCCTCCACGTGTCGTCATCTTCTCAAAACACCCACACAAATCTTAACCCTACCCCACTCTCCCACAGAGCTCCAGCAAGGCGACGAGCAAGCTGGTCAGCCCCAACGCGCCTCTCGGCTACACCCTCGTCTTGCTTCCGCCCTTGCTCCCCCTTTTTGTCTCAACTCCCACTTCCCTCCCTCCCTTTTTATTTTCCCACAGAGCTACAGCAAGGCGACGAGCAAGCTTGCGAGCCCCAACGCGCCCCTGGCCTACAACCTCTGCTTGCTTCCCCCCTTCTGTCCCAACTCGTCTCCCTTCCCACTCCCGTTCTTCCCCACTCGCCCGCAGAGCTCCAGCAAGGCGATGAGCAAGCTCGCCAGTCCCAACGCGCCGCTGGGCTACACCCTCTGCTTCCTCAACCTGGGGCTGGAAGGGCTCACCATCGCCACTCAAGACTCCATCACTGCCAAGTGAGTTGAGTTTTGAGGTGCCACAAAAGTAACGAGTCCCAATGCACCGCTGGGCTACACCCTCTGCTTCCTCAACCTGGGGCTGGAAGGGCTCACCATCGCCACTCAAGACTCCATCACTGCCAAGTGAGTTGAGTTTTGAGGTGCCACAAAAGTAACGAGTCCCAATGCACCGCTGGGCTACACCCTCTGCTTCCTCAACCTGGGGCTGGAAGGGCTCACCATCGCCACTCAAGACTCCATCACTGCCAAGTGAGTTGAGTTTTGAGGTGCCACAAAAGTAACGAGTCCCAATGCACCGCTGGGCTACACCCTCTGCTTCCTCAACCTGGGGCTGGAAGGGCTCACCATCGCCACTCAAGACTCCATCACTGCCAAGTGAGTTGAGTTTTGAGGTGCCACAAAAGTAACGAGTCCCAATGCACCGCTGGGCTACACCCTCTGCTTCCTCAACCTGGGGCTGGAAGGGCTCACCATCGCCACTCAAGACTCCATCACTGCCAAGTGAGTTGGGCCTGATTGATCATTGAGATCTGGCATTTTAGTTGTTGGAATGTCATGGATAAACCCTTTGAAGACATTTCAACCTGGGTCTGGAAGGGTTCACTTTTGAGGCGCCTTAAAAGACTTTTGAGACGACTTTTGAGGCGACTCAAAAGCATTTTAGTTCTTGAAATGTCATGGATGAACCCTTCGAGACATTTCAACATGGGTCTGGAAGGGCTCACCATCGCCACTCAGGACCCTTTTGGTATATTCGTTCTTGCGCAATCCCGATGCTGCTTCACCCTATTTTCATGCGCTCTCCAGGTACCCTTTGAGACGTCTCAAAAGGCCTTTGCCGCACGCACCCCGAAGCGTGCCTGCCTTTGAGACGTCTCAAAAGGCCTTTGCCGCACGCACCCCGAAGCGTGCCTGCCTTTGAGACGTCTCAAAAGGCCTTTGCCGCACGCACCCCGAAGCGTGCCTGCCTTTGAGACGTCTCAAAAGGCCTTTGCCGCACGCACCCCGAAGCGTGCCTGCCTTTGAGACGTCACAAAAGGCCTTTGCCGCACGCACCCCGAAGCGTGCCTGCCTTTGAGACGTCTCAAAAGGCCTTTGCCGCACGCACCCCGAAGCGTGCCTGCCTTTGAGACGTCTCAAAAGGCCTTTGCCGCACGCACCCCGAAGCGTGCCTGCCTTTGAGACGTCTCAAAAGGCCTTTGCCGCACGCACCCCGAAGCGTGCCTGCCTTTGAGACGTCTCAAAAGGCCTTTGCCGCACGCACCCCGAAGCGTGCCTGCCTTTGAGACGTCTCAAAAGGCCTTTGCCGCACGCACCCCGAAGCGTGCCTGCCTTTGAGACGTCTCAAAAGGCCTTTGCCGCACGCACCCCGAAGCGTGCCTGCCTTTGAGACGTCTCAAAAGGCCTTTGCCGCACGCACCCCGAAGCGTGCCTGCCTTTGAGACGTCTCAAAAGGCCTTTGCCGCACGCACCCCGAAGCGTGCCTGCCTTTGAGACGTCTCAAAAGGCCTTTGCCGCACGCACCCCGAAGCGTGCCTGCCTTTGAGACGTCTCAAAAGGCCTTTGCCGCACGCACCCCGAAGCGTGCCTGCCTTTGAGACGTCTCAAAAGGCCTTTGCCGCACGCACCCCGAAGCGTGCCTGCCTTTGAGACGTCTCAAAAGGCCTTTGCCGCACGCACCCCGAAGCGTGCCTGCCTTTGAGACGTCTCAAAAGGCCTTTGCCGCACGCACCCCGAAGCGTGCCTGCCTTTGAGACGTCTCAAAAGGCCTTTGCCGCACGCACCCCGAAGCGTGCCTGCCTTTGAGACGCTATGTGGAGAAAGACGCTGGGGCAGCCCTGCGTCCTGCGTCCGGACGCAGCGTCCGGACGCAAAGACGCAGGACGCGCGTCCGGACGCAGGACGCACCCTGGAAATTTTTTCGGGCAGACCGAGATTTTTTTTTTTTCGCGATCGCGAAACTGACATTCGCGATTTCGTCGCGAATGTCAATTTCGCCAAAATTCGACACCCCCCAAGCAAATTCGACCCCCAAAACCAGCCATCTAATTCACCCCTAACCCCCTCCCCTTTTTGCAAAATTGATTTGGAAATCCAACCCCTCTCCACCACTCCATTCGCGACGGGAAGGAGAGCAAGATTGCGGCGCGCAAGGAAAAAGAGAGGGCGACCGATGCGGCACTCAACGCAGTGAGCGGCGTAGGCGGTGCGGGACCGAAGGCTAAGAAGGGGCGGATGGAGGATTGGTATGGTGAGGGGGGGAAGACGGCGACGCGTGCGGCCGACGAGGCAATTTGCCTCTACATCGCGGGGACGCGCACGGCGGAACGTCAGTGCGAGCACCCGCTCTTCCTCAACATGCTGCGCGCCGTTGCTGCCGCTGGAAGCAGCTACGTCTCTCCCAAGCGTGACTTCGTCGGCGGCGTCGGGCTGCAGGAGTGCAAGAGGCGGATTGAAAAGGGGTTGGAGCCCATTACGAAAACCTGGATGGAGACCGGCGTGACGATTGCCAGCGACATGATGCGGGACAAGAGCGGGCGCGCGCAGATGAACATCATTTGTATCAACGACAACGGCGCGGTGTTCCAGGAGGCGGTCGACTGCAAGGCGGAGACTAAGAGTGGGGCTTTCATCGTGAGCGTCCTGCAGCCGATCATCGAGAAGATTGGGCCGCAGCACGTCGTCGCTTTTTGCTCGGACGGCGGCAGCAACTACGTGTCCGCCGGCAAGAAGCTGCAGGAGATCTACCCGCATCTCGAGTTCGTTCCCTGCGCCACTCACGTGCTCGACCTGCTGATTGAGGACATCGGCGGGATGGACTGGGCGCAGGAGGTCGTCCCTGTTGCGAACGACATCATCTCCTTCGTGCGCAGCCACACGTGGACGCGCGCCTTCCTACGGTGTCCCGAGCTGCACGACGAGGAGAAGTCGCTGCAGGCGCTGCGCCCGGCGGGCACGCGCTTTGGGACGAACTTCATCGCTGTGTCGCGGCTGCTCAAGATCCGTCAGCATCTGACGCAGATGGTGACGCACAAGGATTGGGAGGAGAAGGGAGGTAGCACGCAGACTGGAAAGACATTTGCGGCGTCGGTGTTGGATGTGGGGTGGTGGAACAAGGCGGAGACATTCGTGAAGGTGATGGAGCTGCCCTACAAGGTGATGAGGCGGACTGATGGGGAGGCGAAGGGGAGGATGGGTGAGATGTACGACATCATGCTGCAGCTGACGGAGGACTTGCAGAAGCTGTTGGAGAAGGATGATTGTGGGCTCAAGAGGGCGGATAAGGAGGGGGTGAAGGAGCACCTGAGGCGGCGTTGGGATGAGAACTTGGCCTGCCCCCTTCACGTGGTTGGCCGGATTCTGAACCCGGCCAACCAGGAGGAGGGGATCTACCACAAGGACGTCGAGTGCACCAGGGTGATGAAGGCGTGGCTCCAGCGCTCGAAGACATTCGTCGACAAGTATTGGAAGAGCGGCGGCGACACTAAGGGGACGATGAAGGCGCTGCAGGAGGGGATGCTTGCGTTCATTGAGGGGAAGGGGTGCTTCGGGTCTGAGGATGCAATAGAGGGGCGGGCGGAGATTAAGGCCGGGAAGGGGGACATGGTGACGTGGTGGAAGGTGAACGGCTGGGAGTACCAGGAGCTGGCTGGCCTTGCGTGCCGGGCGCTCTCACAGCCCGTCTCCGCTTCACCATGCGAGCGCGGATGGTCCACGTGGGATGGCGTACACACGGCGCGCAGGAACAGGTTGGGTTCGGAGAAGGTCCGCGACCTTGTGTTCGTTGCGCACAACTGGAACGTTGTGCACAACCACCACAAGGGTGCGGCGGGTGCGGGGCCGAGTGGGGAAGTCAGGAAGGCGGGAATAGTGGAGGGGAACATTCCCCCCCGACCCCTTCCCGAGGGGTACAAGCTTGAGGAGGATGGAGAGGTGGAGGTGGATGAGGATGACCTCACCTTCGACGAGTACAAGGAGCAGGAGGATTTGGAGAAGGAGGAGGAGAAGGGGATGGAGAGCGAGGAGGATGAGTGATGCATGTTAGTTAGTGGTAGTATGCATGCATGCTAAACAACCCTTGGACTAATTGTGATTATGGAAATTTGGGGCTCACCTTCATGTTCTATTGTTGTGGCTGAAATTTTGTTGTTGAGGAGAAATTTTGCTATGAAAGTGTGTTCCCCCCCCCCCCCCCCCCCCCCTCTTACCCCCTCTTCCCTCTGCCCTATAACTTTTTTTTTGCTGCCCGGGGGGTTTTTTTTGGCTGCCCGGACCTGCGTCTTTTGCTGCGTCTTGGGGGCCCTAAACTAGCGTCCAGCGTCTGGACGCATGCGTCTGGACGCATGCGTCCAGGACGCTGGACGCGTCTTTCTCCACATAGTTGAGACGTCTCAAAAGGCCTTTGCCGCACGCACCCCGAAGCGTGCCTGCCTTTGAGACGTCTCAAAAGGCCTTTGCCGCACGCACCCCGAAGCGTGCCTGCCTTTGAGACGTCTCAAAAGGCCTTTGCCGCACGCACCCCGAAGCGTGCCTGCCTTTGAGACGTCTCAAAAGGCCTTTGCCGCACGCACCCCGAAGCGTGCCTGCCTTTGAGACGTCTCAAAAGGCCTTTGCCGCACGCACCCCGAAGCGTGCCTGCCTTTGAGACGTCTCAAAAGGCCTTTGCCGCACGCACCCCGAAGCGTGCCTGCCTTTGAGACGTCTCAAAAGGCCTTTGCCGCACGCACCCCGAAGCGTGCCTGCCTTTGAGACGTCTCAAAAGGCCTTTGCCGCACGCACCCCGAAGCGTGCCTGCCTTTGAGACGTCTCAAAAGGCCTTTGCCGCACGCAGCCCGAAGCGTGCCTGCCTTTGAGACGTCTCAAAAGGCCTTTGCCGCACGCACCCCGAAGCGTGCCTGCCTTTGAGACGTCTCAAAAGGCCTTTGCCGCACGCACCCCGAAGCGTGCCTGCCTTTGAGACGTCTCAAAAGGCCTTTGCCGCACGCACCCCGAAGCGTGCCTGCCTTTGAGACGTCTCAAAAGGCCTTTGCCGCACGCACCCCGAAGCGTGCCTGCCTTTGAGACGTCTCAAAAGGCCTTTGCCGCACGCACCCCGAAGCGTGCCTGCCTTTGAGACGTCTCAAAAGGCCTTTGCCGCACGCACCCCGAAGCGTGCCTGCCTTTGAGACGTCTCAAAAGGCCTTTGCCGCACGCACCCCGAAGCGTGCCTGCCTTTGAGACGTCTCAAAAGGCCTTTGCCGCACGCACCCCGAAGCGTGCCTGCCTTTGAGACGTCTCAAAAGGCCTTTGCCGCACGCACCCCGAAGCGTGCCTGCCTTTGAGACGTCTCAAAAGGCCTTTGCCGCACGCACCCCGAAGCGTGCCTGCCTTTGAGACGTCTCAAAAGGCCTTTGCCGCACGCACCCCGAAGCGTGCCTGCCTTTGAGACGTCTCAAAAGGCCTTTGCCGCACGCACCCCGAAGCGTGCCTGCCTTTGAGACGTCTCAAAAGGCCTTTGCCGCACGCACCCCGAAGCTGCATGAGTTGGAGACCTCTGATGACTGGGAAAGCATGGCCCAGTCTCAATATCCTCGTACTTCGATCACCTTACATTGCACCACACGCCCCTTATGCCCCAAACCCCTTCCAGGTACCCGTTCACAGCCACGTACCATCTGATGCTGGGCATGAACATATGGGGCACTCTCTACATGGCGATCTACATGTTCGCCTGGCCGGGCGGCGGGGGCATGGCAGCCATCGACTTCTGCCGCACACACCCCGAAGCTGCCTGAGTTGGAGGCATCTCATAACCGGGAAAAACGAGGCTGAGCCTCAGTTCCCTTGTCCTCCATTCACCTCATACCCACATCCCTTATGCCCCAAACAAACCCCTGCAGGTATCCCTTCACAGCCACATACCATCTGATGCTGGGCATGAACATATGGGGCACTCTCTACATGGCGATCTACATGTTCGCATGGCCGGGTGGCGGCGGCATGGCAGCCATCGACTTTTGCCGCACGCACCCCGAAGCTGCCGTGGACGTGTTCCTCTTCTGCCTCTGCGGCGCCGTCGGGCAGAATTTTATTTTTCTGACCATCAACAAGTTTGGCGCGCTGGTCAACACGACCATCACCACGACCCGGAAATTCATGCGTATTTTGATCTCGGCCGTGTGGAATGGAAATCCGCTCACAGGACAGCAGTGGGCGGGTGTGGGGATGGTGTTTGCCGGTTTGAGCTATCAGATTTATCTGAAGTGGCGGAAATCTAGGGGTAAGAAGAAGCGGGCGGGATCGGACTTGGGTGCGGCTGCAGCGCGAAAGGAGGCGGCCGGGGAAGGGAGAGGGGAGGAGAAGGAGGCGTTGATGGGAAACGGGGAGAGGAAGAAGAGTAGGTGATGGGTTTGACCGTTGAAGAGAGAGGGAGAGAGACATAGCACCACATTCATCATTGGGTCTCCCGGTAACAGGGATGTTTGACTGACTTTACGCAACAAACCTTGGTAATTTCACCAAGTCTTAAAACACAACTTTCTTCACACACCGAATGTACACCACCACGACAAGTGGTCTCAAAAGGCATGCATTCAGGTGACTCACAGACAGCTACCTAAATCTGGGCCATGGCACTGGCTTTAATTGGTGATGAGGGTTGTGAGAGCAGCAGCAGATGGGGTGCCTGAATCCGAATGACAACTCAAAAGGTGATTTACAGACAGGCTACCTAAATCTGGGCCATGGCATGGCACTGGCTTCAATCGAAGATCAGGATTGCGAGAGCAGCAGCAGCTGGGGTGCCTGAAACAGAGTGACGTCATCCAGAATTCCTCTCAGAGCCTCCATTGCTGCTCTCAGCCGCATGTTGCACCTTCGGATTTGCTGTTTTGAAAAGGGGGTGGTTCAAAGTCACGTGAAGCAGGAAGGAGCAAAGTGGAGAAGAGAATAAGGGTTGGTGAGTGGCTGACACTATCTGGTATTCCCCTCAGAGCCTCCATTGCTGCTCTCAGCCTCATGTTGCACCTTCGGATTTGCTGTTATGTGAAGCAGGAGTGTTTCAAAGTCATGTGAAGGGGAGCAAAGTGGGGAAGAGAAGAGAAGAGGGGTTGGTGGCATTATCTGGCATTATGTGGCATTATCTGGCATTATGTGGCATTATCTGGCATTATGTGGCATTATCTGGCATTATGTGGCATTATCTGGCATTATGTGGCATTATGTGGCATTATCTGGCATTATGTGGCATTATCTGGCATTATGTGGCATTATCTGGCATTATCTGGCATTATCTGGCATTATGTGGCATTATCTGGCATTATCTGGCATTATCTGGCATTATCTGGCATTATCTGGCATTATCTGGCATTATGTGGCATTATCTGGCATTATCTGGCATTATCTGGCATTATGTGGCATTATCTGGCATTATCTGGCATTATCTGGCATTATCTGGCATTATCTGGCATTATCTGGCATTATCTGGCATTATCTGGCATTATCTGGCATTATCTGGCATTATCTGGCATTATCTGGCATTATCTGGCATTATCTGGCATTATCTGGCATTATCTGGCATTATCTGGCATTATCTGGCATTATCTGGCATTATCTGGCATTATCTGGCATTATCTGGCATTATCTGGCATTATCTGGCATTATCTGGCATTATCTGGCATTATCTGGCATTATCTGGTATCCCCTTCAGAGCCTCCATTGCTGCTCTCAGCCGCATGTTGCACCTCCGAATTTGCTGTTACAGAAAGGGGAGTAATTGACTTGGGATGTCGCGTGGGAGATGCAAAGAGGGAAACAAAAGAGGGAAGGGTGAGTGACATTGTCCGGTATCCCTCTCAATTGCTACTCTCAGCCACACGTTGCACCTCCAGATGCGTGCGAACGAACGAAGAAAAGAGAGTGTCGGAGATGGGGAGAACATGAACAGGGAAGGCAGCATCATCTATCTCCCGCCACCCGTCACCCACCATCCATCCCTCATCATCCATCTTCTACCTCCGTCACCCATTGTTGCATTCAGCTGCCTCGTCAGATGCCTTCAGATGCCCCTTCTGCTTGTTTGATTCGACTTATTTGCGTACTGATTGGCTAATTTTGCAGTGTTTAAAGCCAATGTTCGCACCTTCCTCAGTGTCGCTGCTCGCGCGGTCAACTCCTCTACAGACCGCGACTCAGCTGCACCTGACGCTGCAGCAGATGGCTCAGGCGCTGCTTCAGGTGCTTCTTCAGGTGCTGTTGCACTATCTGGTGCAGCAGACTCTGGGTGTAATCCAACGCCCACTCTCTGGGTCTCTGCCCCTGGAGTTCCTTCACTGTCAATTCCTGGCCGGCCGGCATTTTTTGTCCCTTTCTCCATCTCTTCCTGCAGCCTCAGCAGGAGCGACCTGAGCTCTGACGAGATGTTCTTATACCGAAGGTGAGCCATTTCTATGGCTGCTGCTGCCGCATCCGGCGGCAATCCCGAGGTCCGCCGCTGCTGCTGCTCTTGCTGATGCAATTGCTGCTCAGAGCTTGCACTGCCGGCGCCTGCAGTTTCAGACGAAGCTTCCCAGAAGGCGCCGTTGCACATGACGAGGTTCAGCGTGGACAGCACGCCTTCCGCGGCTTCGACCAATCGCTGCGTCCCTTCCTCTCCGCGCCGCGTCAGCGACACGACCGGGTCTTCTTCGCTGCTGCGGTTCGATATTTCGCGCTCCGGACATTCTTTACCTGCCGCGTCGTCCGCCTTCTGTGCCTCTCGTTGCTCGCGCGCCGTCGCTGTTTGCGGAGACGACAAATCGTCCGCGTTTGGTGCCGCGGGATCTGGTGGACACGTCGCCGTTGCATTGCGGGTCGAGTCGGCGTCTATGTCCATAGCGTCTGCCATGATTTGTTCACAGAGTAACGAAAGAGGGCACTCAATAAGAGTCTCGCCAGAAAGATGGTAGTAATTGTCTCGCCAGCATAGACTGAACTGAATATTAGGGCGTGACTCCCGTTTTTGTTGGTCACCCTACCCAGATCGCTCTAGAATCTGTAGGAACCGATACGAAACACACACCGCCACACATGCATCACGGGACCAAATGTGGATCCTTTTGCCTGCTAGGCAAATAACTCCCACCCACGTTTCCGAAATATGTAGCGAAAACTTCCGCTTCGCCAAAGCAAAAGTAGCGGGGAAACCTTTCCGCCCGAGTCCTGTAACCCACTTTTCGCTCCCAATGTGGTCGTTCGCGCAACCCTCCTCTTGTTGACCTTCGGAAATGCTATGTGCGATTAGCATTTCGCAAATCTCCCACATCGCTCGCAAACCTTTCAATCCCCCAACTCCCTCCCCTCTTCCCCAGAGCTCCCTCCCTCCCTCCTATCTGCCTTCGTCCCCGCCATCACCAGCACGCACATTTCCTAAACACATGCCCATACCTCCCCTTCACGAATGAAAATTACCAGTGCCCCTTCACGAATGTGTTCCATTTCTAATAAGCAAAACGACATTACAATCTCTAACAACAAATGGAGAACGAACCGGGCAATCGGTCCTGGCAGCACAGCTTCAGTGCTTCCTGGGACTAGCTACCAGGAGCCACCCCGACTTTATTGTACAACACAATTCAGGGCGTCCCAAGGAACTGGTGAAAAGGCAAAAAAAAAAGAAGAAAAGGAAACCGAAAGCTAGCACAATGCGCAAGGAACGGACCGGATGAAACTTCTTGAGAATGGCTGTGCGCAAGGAGAGGTGGCACCCGATGTGGCAAAGCTTGAGGGCTGCCCACAATGATCGCTTCCCCGTGCAATCACAGCTCCGATATAATCAAAGCCCCAGAATTATTATTACAGCCTTGAGGCAGTCTCTACTATTTCCACCATCTCCGACAGGTCGCGAGCCTTCGCCGCCTCGCGAGCTTTCGCCGCTTCGCCGTGCTCCTCCAGCCACTTAATCGTCACGCTCTTGGGACGCTCGATCGGCAATCCCAAGGCGCGGTCCCAGATCAGCTGCGACACCACGCCCATCGCGCGGGAAACACCGAAGAGCACCGTATAGAAGTTCGACTCGGTAAGCCCATAATGCGCGAGTAAAATTCCACTGTGCGCGTCAACGTTAGGCCACGGGTTTCGGACTTTCCCCGTCTGCGTCAGCACACCCGGGACGACGTCAAACAGGTCAGAAACGAGGTGGAACATGGGGTCGTCGGGCAGATGCTTCTGTGCGAACTCCCTCTGCGAAATGTATCGCGGATCGGTAACCCGTAACACCGCGTGTCCGAAACCGGGCACCACTTTCCCCGCCTTGAGCGTCTTCCAAACGAACCCCTCCAGCTGATCCTTCGTCGGGGCTTCGCCGAGCTCTTCGCGAACTTCGTGAAGCCAATTCAGCACCTCCTGATTGGCCAGCCCGTGCAGCGGGCCCGCCAGGCCATTCAGCCCAGCAGCATACGCCAGGTACGGATCGGAAAGAGCCGTGCCGACGAGATGCGTGGTGTGCGCGCTGACATTCCCGCCCTCATGATCTGCATGAATCGTCAAATAGAGCCGCATGAGCTCGTGAAATCCGGGGTCGTCGAGTCCAAGCATGTGTGCAAAATTCGCGGCGTAGTCGAGGGTGGGATCAGCCGGTATCATACGCCCATCCTTGAAAACCCGGCGGTAGATAAACGCCGCGATCACTGGTATCCCCGCTATAAGGTTCATCGCGTCCTCGTACACGGGCTCCCAGTAACGAGTCTTGTGCACGGAGCCAGAAGAATAAGCCTTGGCGAACTCGCTGGTGGACTGAAGGGCTGTTACACCAATAGAGAGCTGCGACATGGGGTGGAGATGCTTCGGGAGGGAACGAAGCACCGTGAACACGTGATCCGGCACATTCGCCGCGCGCAGCCTCAGCTCCTCCGTGATGGACGCCGCCTGAAGAGGCGTCGGAACCTCCCCCGTGATGAGGAGCCATAAGAGCGCCTCGGGAAGCGGCTCGCCGCCGGGTATCGCGGAGGGGAGGAGGCGCTGGCAGTCGGGGATGGACAAGCCTCGGTACTTGATTCCAAGATCTGCGTCGAGGATGGAAGGTTCCCAGATTAGGCCTTGAATTCCGCGCATTCCGCCAAGCGCCATGTCGATGGTCGTTTCGCCGAGCGACACGGAGCCATAATTGGTCTTTAGGTTCCGTACGCGGTCGCGTTTGTCCGGTATGAGGTCTTCTAAGCGGCACCGAAGCTCGGAGAGCGGGCGCACGGAGTGGTCGAATCGCTTGGAGAAGGGCGAACTCGATCGCTGGTTCTTGTTGTCGTGGGATGAAGCAAACAAACTGTACACGCGGGCTACGGCCATAGACTGGCCGACGACGGTCAAATTGAGTCTTGGTATGTAACAAAAAGAAGCTCACTCAACTATGTGGCTAGCGCGGGTGAAAGAGATCGAGAAGCAGCAAGGAAAATGCGCTGGTTGAGAAAAGCGCTGACTATGTAGAGCTGATAGTGGTTTTTTGAAGGAGGGAACGGGTAGTAGTGAGATTTCCGGAACGCGTTCCAGTGCCTTTTATCCATTTGACAAGCTGAGCCCCATGGTTGCAGTGCAAGGCGCTGCGTGTTTGTGGTGGCGAGGGAAATTCGACGATGTGGGTACTGTAGTTCGTTCACTCGCAGACGGTGCAGCCTCCCCACTTCCTGCCTCGGCGAAGCTGCACCTGCTTCGCTGCGTTGCCTCCGCGAAAATGCGCTGTCGTCGAAACGCGTCCCACCTGTCCGCATTTGTGTTCCATCAGCTGACGCGAGCGGCAATCACGGCCGGGAATGCGCCCAACCTTGCTTCGTAACCTCGCCGCAACTGAGGAGGGACTGCCAATAAGAAGCAGCCAGCTGAGCGTCACGTGGATGAAATAACGATAATCAGCTATGCTCAGCAGGGTAACCTGGGTACGTGGCGAGATTAGCTGCGCTCAACGAAGGTGAGCGAATGGCGCTCGCTGGATGTGACACATGCGCGGAAGTGCGGCGAATCGCGGCCGTTCAGGAAAATTCCGAGCCAGCAGAGCCAAGCACTCAGACGCCAAACCAGCGGAGTGAGCCAGCGCAACAGAGGGGCGGAACCAACCGCCCCATTGCGACTGCCGGAGAAGATCGTTCATACTCGTTATTGAAGATGAATATTAATGCGCGTAGTCTCATAGGTTGAGAATCAGAAATTCCCCGATTCACACTACATCAGCATTATCGGAAAACCAGCAGTTGATCCACGCATCACCAGAGGTCATTAACAGCATGCTCTATCCAACCACGTCAAATTTGGCCTAGAAAGCACCACTACTCAGCCTGTAGCCCACGGCCCTTCTTTCCAGGCTGGCCCCCATCATCATCCCCACCCCTACCACCCCCGAACTTCCGCTTCGCCTCCTTCCTGTACTTCTCCCTCTTCTCCTCGCGCCGCCTGTACTTCTGCTCCTCCTCGTCCGCTGCCTTGCGCTTCTCGTATTCTGCTCGCTTCTTGCGCGTCGTCTCCCTCCGCTTCTTCACCTGCATGGGGTATAATAAAATTGCACATACAGAATATGAACAACAATAATAAAAGAAGACCAAATACACCCCCTGCCACCACGATACCATCACCATTCAGATAAAACATGATAATACATTACGTACCGTGTTACTGTATTACTGTACCTTTTGGTTCTTGATGGTGTTGAGCTGCTGCACCATAGTGTGCAGCCGCCTCTCCTGAGGCTCCAGCACCACCGCCGGCCGCTGCTGCTCCAGGCTCGGTGTTGTGCGCCGAGCCTCGTCCTTAGGCTTGGAGGAGAAGGGCAGGGCGGCCTGCAGCTTCGCCGGGACTTTGAGCGGGTTGAATGAACGCGGACGCCTCTCGATGGGCTGTGAGGGGTTGAGAGAGATGGATGATGAGTACGAAGGGGTTTAGAGGGTTGAAGGAGCGCGGGCGCCGCTTGATGGGCCGGGAGGGGTTGAGAGAGATGAGAGGGGGCTGGGGGACAGGAAGAGGGGAATGCGGGTGTTAAGGAGGGTGGGGGGGCAGAATCTGAGCAGAATGTTTGTGGGTTACTCTTCATTCCATTCCAAAACTTGAATGGAAAACTGTCCCGAACGAGCAGCATTTTCTCCTTAAAAAAAAAAAAGATTCTTGGTATTTTATGCAAAAGGAACTACACTACCTTGAACTACGATAACATTTGTGAACAGCAGCACAGTACCTTGTAAAGGGAGTCCTTGTTAACAGCACACTACCTTGTAAAGGGAGTCCTTGTTAACGGGGATGGGCAGCTGCTGCTCCCGCCTGAGCTCAGCCACAGTCTTCATGCCTTGCCACGTGGCGCTCGCTGATTGGAGCAGCGTGCAGACGGGGTTGTAGAGCTTGGGCACGGCCACCTTGACCCAGGCGCGCAGGAAGACAATGTCGCTCATCAGAATCTTGTCCTCAAAGGCGCACCTCACACTGCCTTCCGGGCCTTGCCCGTGCTTCAGAGCCTAGTTTGGGGGAGATCATGACGGAAAAGCGGGAAGAGGAACAGAGGGATATGGGAGGAGGGGAGAGGAGAGGAGAAACGGTGAGAGAGGGGCAGGAGAGGTGGAGGAATGAGGCAAGCGAGAGGCAGGGTCACGTCATATTGACCCCCCACCACGGCCACCTTGACCCAGGCGCGCAGGAAGACAATGTCGCTCATCAGGATCTTGTCCTCAAAGGCGCACCTCACACTGCCTTCAGGTCCCTGCCCGTGTTTCAGAGCCTGTATTAAGAAAGCAGGTGAGGGGCGCGGGTAGGGGGAGGAGAGCAGGAGGGGGGAGAAGGGCGGGGAGACAGGGGTCCCGGGAGAGGGGAGTGGGGAGATGGGAGGTAGAAGAATGAGGTAAGGGAGAGGGGCACGGTCACATTGACCCCCACACCCACCACCAACACCTTGACCCAGGCGCGCAGGAAGACAATGTCGCTCATCAGAATCTTGTCCTCAAAGGCGCACCTCACACTGCCTTCAGGTCCCTGCCCGTGCTTCAGAGCCTGTATGGAGAAGGCAGGGAAGGAGGGAACAGCGGGAAGAAGGAGGGGAGAGGGGAGTCAGAAGAATGAGGTAAGAGAGGGGCACGAACGGCCCCTGCCCGTGCTTCAGAGCCTGGTGTGGGGGAGATCATGAAGGAAAAGCAGGAAGATGAACAGAGGGATATGGGAGGAGGGGAGAGGAGAGGAGAGATGGTGAGAGAGGGGCAGGAGAGGTGGAATAATGAGGCAAGCGAGAGGCACGGTCACATTGACCCCCCTCCACGGCCACGGCGACCTTGACCCAGGCGCGCAGGAAGACAATGTCGCTCATCAGCATTTTGTCCTCAAAGGCGCATCGCACACTGCCCTCTGGCCCCTGCCCGTGCTTCAGAGCCTAGTGTGTTTCAGGCAGGGGGGAGAGTGGAAGGGGAAGAGAGGAGAAGGGAAGAGAGGAGGGGGGACAGGGGAGAAGGGAGAGGAGAGAGGAGGGGGGAGAGAGGAGGGGGGAGAAAGAAGTTAGAAGGACGAGGTAAGAGAGGGGCATGGTCACACTGACCCCTCACCGCCACTTCAAGCTGTGAGGAGAACATGTGGTGGTGATGAAGGCGGTCATGTGGTGGCGGAAGATCTTCACGGGCGTGCCCACCAGCTTCCCTCCTTCGCTCTCACCACCCAGAAGAACCCATTCCAACCGGCGCGTACCTTCTTGATCTGCCCTCGAATGCCGGACACGGTCCGCACGGCCGCCCCTTCGAACCGTGTGACTTCAAGCTGGGAGGAGAACATGTCTTCGATGAATGCGGTGTGACGGCGAGTTGAACCCTACCCACACCACACGCACCTTCTTGATCTGCCCTCGGATTCCTGAGACGGTCCGCACGGCCGCCCCTTCAAACCGCGCCACTTCAAGCTGGGAGGAGAACATGTCCTTGATGAACGCGGTGTGACGGAAGATCTTCACAGGCGTGCCCACCAGCTCGTCCCTCCCTCATTCATTACCCACAAAGACCCATTTCAACCGGCGCGTACCTTCTTGATCTGCCCGCGGATGCCTGATACAGTCCGCACAGCCGCCCCTTCAAACCGCGCAACCTCAAGCTGGGAGGAGAACATGTCCTTGATGAACGCGGTGTGGCGGAAGATCTTCACAGGCGTGCCCACCAGCTTGAGCTTTTTCACCACCTGGGCCGACTGCTGCTGCTCCAACACCACGCCTGTAGCGCTGATGCGGAAGGACGCCTGGGAGATACGGGGTAGAATGTGGTAGAACGCGGTGGAATGTGGTGGAATGGGTGATAAATGAGATCTTCACGGGCGTGCCCACCAGCTTGAGCTTTTTCACCACCTGGGCTGACTGCTGCTGCTCCAACACCACTCCTGTGGCGCTGATGCGGAAGGACGCCTGGGTAGAATGGGGTGCAATGCGGTAGAATGGGGTGGAATGCGTTGGAATGGGTGATAAATGAGATCTTCACGGGCGTGCCCACCAGCTTCAGCTTCTTCACCACCTGGGCTGACTGCTGCTGCTCCAACACCACGCCCGTGGTACTGATGCGGAAGGACGCCTGAGAGAGCATGGGGTAGAATGCAGTGGAATGCGGTCGAACGCAATAGAATGCACATTCAAAGGCAGCGGTGGCGCCCACATGACAGCCAGGCAGTGCATGTGCCCTCGGGGGGGAGACCGCATGTACATGACCGCATGCATGAGCCGCTCTCTCTCCTCTGAAAGAGAACATATTTGCTTGCTGTTGCGTGAAGCAGCAGCAGAGGAGAGAGACAACAACCCAGTGTTCGGTGGCAGCTGCGGCGCCCACATGACGGCCAGGCAGTGCATGTGCTCCGGGAGGAATATCCACGTGTATGAAGAAGTGTTTTGAGACATCTCAAAACAGGCAGTGCATGTGCTCCGGGAGGAATTCAATCAGCCGGTGCCGCCCGTTGCTGTCCTCCATGGCAACTTTATCAGCCCCTGCTTGCTCCCAACTACATGCCCTGATCCAAGCCGTACCTGCTTGCTGTTGCCGGAGGCAGCACCAGACGACAGCGCCAGCAGCCCAGTATTCGGCGGTAGCAGCGGCGCCCACATGACAGCCAGGCAGTGCATGTGCTCGGGCGTGTACTTGATCAGCCGGTGCCGCCCGTTGGTATCCTCCATGGCAAATCAATCAGCACCTGCTTGCTCTCACCATCATGCCTCGACCCAAGGCGTACCTGCTTGCTGTTGCCGCTAGCAGCACCCGAAGACAGGGCAAGAAGGCCAGTGTTGGGCGGCAGCAGCGGCGCCCACATGACAGCCAGGCAGTGCATGTGCTCGGGCGTGTACTTGATGAGTCTGTGCCGCCCGTTGGTATCCTCCATGGCAAACACGGGCACGGACTGGAAGCGCCGCCATCCAGCGGACAGGACGAGGGGGTCCCGCGTTTTCAGCACCTTGCGGTGCCACCGGTGCTTCTTCAGCCGCACCTGGTGGCAGGCAAGGGGGTGGGGGAGAAAGGGGAACGGGAAAGGGGAAGGGGAAAGGGGAAGGGGAAAGGGGAAGGGGAAAGGGTGTGTGGCCCGTTGGTATCCTTCATGACAAACACGGGCACGGACTGGAAGCGCCGCCACCCCGCTGAGAGGACGAGGGGCTCTCGAGTCTTGAATGCTTTCCGGTGTCACCGGTGCTTCTTCATCCGCACCTGGTGGGAGAGGGGAGAGGGGGGAGGGGGGAGGAGGAGAGGGAGGAATGAGGGTTTGGAAGCACAAGAGGGTCTCGAGTCTTGAATGCATTCCGGTGTCACCGGTGCTTCTTCATCCGCACCTGGTGGGGGAAGTGTGGGGAGGGGGGAGGGGAAGGGTGGGGAGGAGAGGGAGGAATGAGGGGTTGGAAGCACAAGAGGGTCTCGAGTCTTGAGCACCCTGCGATCTATGTTGGATTATACGCTCAAGACCCTTCGTGTTTAGCGTATGTATGTACACTAGCGCGCAACAAGCTAAACGCTAGCGAATACGCGATACGCAGCCAAAAACAATTCTGGGCAGCCCGGAAAAATAAAATCGCAGAAATTTTCTTGGTGAGCGAGCATTTCGCCGAAGTCGAAATGCAAAGATGCGGATTTTCCTGTCACCAACTCTCTCTCTCCTCCTCCACCCACCCTCAGGTACCCCAGCGTTTCCTCAGTTGGCGGAACCGCTCCCACCAAGACAGGCACCCGCGGGTCAAAGTGCAGCATGAATTCTCCGGGTAGGGCGCGGAACAGCAGGTGCATGTAAGCCCCCACCCCATCTCTCCCTCCCTCAGTTGTTCCCCACCCTCCCCATCCCATCCCACTCACCCTCAGGTAACCGAGCGTTTCCTCCGTGGGCGGGACAGCTCCCACAAGCACGGGAACTCGCGGGTCCAAGTGCAGCATAAAATCTCCCGGCAGTGCACGGAATAGCAGGCGCATGTACGCCCCCACGGGGAAGCCCTCCTCCCTCCCTGTGTCTTCCCACTCACCCTCAGGTATCCAAGCGCTTCCTCCGTGGGCGGGACAGCTCCCACAAGCACGGGAACTCGCGGGTCAAAGTGCAGCATGAACTCCCCAGGTAGAGCGCGGAACAGCAGGCGCAGGTACGCGCCCACGGGGAAGCCTACTCCCTCTCATTTGTCCCTCAGGCTCCCGGTTTCACTTCACCCCACTCACCCTCAAATATCCGAGTGTTTCCTCAGTGGGAGGCACAGCACCCACAGCATCCGCGGGTCAAAGTGGAGCATAAATTCTCCCGGCAGTGCACGGAGCAGCAGGCGCATGTACGCGCCCACGGGAAAGCCCTCCTCCCTCAGTTGCCCCTCGGGTTCACAGATTCATCCCACTCACCCTCAGATATCCCAGGGTCTCTTCGGTAGGCGGGACCGCCCCCACCAGGACAGGCACCCGCGGGTCAAAGTGGAGCATGAATTCTCCCGGCAGTGCACGGAACAGCAGGCGCAGGTACGCCCCCACGGGGAAGCCCTCCATTGCCACACGGGTAGCCTCGTCGACTTCTGCCAGTGCCGCCTCGGTCCTCTGCTTCCTCGCCTCCAGCTGCTCCTTCAACTGGCGGGATTGCGAGGGAGGGAACGGAGGCAGACAAGAGGGGGAAGAGGTGGCAATAGGGGTAAGGTAAGCCCCAGAAAAACCACGCGTGGCCTCGTCCACCTCTGCCAGTGCCGCCTCGGTCCTCTGCTTCCTCGCCTCCAGCTGCTCCTTCAACTGCAGGGGTTGTGGGAGGAGAGGGGGGAGACAGGGGGAGGAGAGGGGGGAGAGAAGGGGAGGAGAGGGGGGAGACAGGGGGAGGAGAGGGGGGAGACAGGGGGAGGAGAGGGGGGAGAGAAGGGGAGGAGAGGGGGGAGACAGGGGGGGAGAGGGGGAGACAGGGGGAGGAGAGGGGGGAGACAGGGGGAGGAGAGGGGGGAGACAGGGGGAGGAGAGGGGGGAGACAGGGGGAGGAGAGGGGGGAGACAGGGGGAGGAGAGGGGGGAGACAGGGGGAGGAGAGGGGGGAGACAGGGGGAGGAGAGGGGGGAGACAGGGGGAGGAGAGGGGGGAGACAGGGGGAGGAGAGGGGGGAGACAGGGGGAGGAGAGGGGGGAGACAGGGGGAGGAGAGGGGGGAGACAGGGGGAGGAGAGGGGGGAGACAGGGGGAGGAGAGGGGGGAGACAGGGGGAGGAGAGGGGGGAGACAGGGGGAGGAGAGGGGGGAGACAGGGGGAGGAGAGGGGGGAGACAGGGGGAGGAGAGGGGGGAGACAGGGGGAGGAGAGGGGGGAGACAGGGGGAGGAGAGGGGGGAGACAGGGGGAGGAGAGGGGGGAGACAGGGGGAGGAGAGGGGGGAGACAGGGGGAGGAGAGGGGGGAGACAGGGGGAGAAGAGGGGGGAGACAGGGGGAGAGAGGGGGGAGACAGGGGGAGGAGAGGGGGAGACAGGGGGAGGAGAGGGGGGAGACAGGGGGAGGAGAGGGGGGAGACAGGGGGAGGAGAGGGGGGAGACAGGGGGAGGAGAGGGGGGAGACAGGGGGAGGAGAGGGGGGAGACAGGGGGAGGAGAGGGGGGAGACAGGGGGAGGAGAGGGGGGAGACAGGGGGAGGAGAGGGGGGAGACAGGGGGAGGAGAGGGGGGAGAGAAGGGGAGGAGAGGGGGGAGAGAAGGGGCAGGAGAGGGGGAAGAGAAGGGGAGGAGAGGGGGGAGAGAAGGGGCGGAGAGGGGGGAGAGAAGGGGCGGAGAGGGGGGAGAGAACGGGCGGAGAGGGGGGAGAGAACGGGCGGAGAGGGGGGAGAGAAGGGGCGGAGAGGGGGGAGAGAACGGGCGGAGAGGGGGGAGAGAAGGGGCGGAGAGGGGGGAGAGAAGGGGCAGGAGTGACCACTCGGCCGGCTTCGTCCACCTCCGGCAGAGCCGCTTCCGTCCTCTGCTTCCTCGCTTCCAGCTGCTCCTTCAACTGGAGGGACAGACAGAGATGCGAGGGGGAACAATAGACGGCACTTGAGCCTGCTGGACCGCTCCGCCTGCCTCGTCCACCTCTGCCAGAGCTGCCTCCGTCCTCTGCTTCCTTGCTTCCAGCTGCTCCTTCAACTGGAGGGACAGAGGGATGGGGATACGGGCAGCAATATTGTAACAACAGCATCATAAGTTAGCAGCAGCAGCAACAACAGAAGGAACAGCTGGAAGAAATACCAGCCGGAGGTAATCTTTTGGTCAATTGGGGAATACCTTCCCTGCTCGATATAGTCACACACACATGACGCTGTAAATTGTCACAGACGATATTGATGTTATCCTTGTTACCTGCCCAATATAGTCACACACCACAATGTTAATAGTCACTCACAACATCAATGTAGTCTTTCTCCTCGGGATCCCTTCCCGGAAACTTCTTGCCTTCGCCCTCCTCCCCTTCCCCATCCTCCCCCCCCTCCTCCTCGTCCTCCTCCCCTCTCGACGTGATTGAATGTCAGGCAAAAAAAAAAACCACAGTCGATAGAAGAGTGGGGTAAGGGAGGACGAGAGGAAGGGCGGAGGGGAAGGGAGGGAAGGGAGGGAAGGGAGGAAAGGAAGATGGGGGGGAGAGAGGAGACCGTAACAGCAGGGGTTGGTTGGAGGGAGATGGTTAAGGAGAAGAACGATTATGTGAGGCGAATCAATGCTGTTTGGGCGGATTCGAAAACACAAGGAGACGACTTTTGAGGCGCCTCAAGAATATTCGAGACGACAATGTTTCGAAAACAAAAGGAGACTTGTGGAAACAAAAGGAGAGAGAGAGGGTGTCACTGAAATAGAAACTGATGTGCGTGACAACAAACTATGACATGGATTCTGAAATGAGTATGAAAGGGGCAGAGTAGGAAAGCGTGAGAGAGGGCGTGTGAGAGAAAGCGTGTGAGAGGATATTTGGAGTCAAAATTGGCACGCAGAGCAAGCTTCTTGAGCCGCCTCTCCTCTGCCTCCGCCTTCTCCCTCTCCTCCTCACTCGTCTTCCCTCCCCCTCCTGCTCCACCTGCCCCTCCTCCCCCTCCTGCTCCCCCGCCTCCCCCCTCCCCTTCCCCCGCAGGTCCAAATTTCTCCCCAGTCTCTAGATCTTCAAAATCCCCAAACACATCCTCCTCCTCCTCCTCCTCCCCATCCTCCTCCTCATCACTCCCCCCATCCTCTCCCCCGCCTTTCTTCCCCTTCGCCCCCCCCTTGCGCCGCCTCTCACCCGCCTTGGACCAGTTCCCAGTCACAAACCGGTCCCTGAGGGATTCCACCACCTCGGGATTGTCCCACTGTGCCAGGTTCACTGCATCTGGACGCACTCTCACACAGTCCTCTGCATCTATGTCGTCAGTGAGTGCAGCTTGAGAGGAGGAGCCGTCCTGCTGCTTCCTCCTTGGCCGAAAAAGCTCCTCCTCCTCCTCCTCTTCCTCCTCGTCCTGCTCCTCATCCTCCTCCTCCTCACTTCCCTCACCACTAGCTCCTTTGCCAAAACCTTTTTCTTTTCCTTTAATGCCACCCCCGCCCTTCTGCCCGTAAACCAATTCCATCAGGCTCAGCTTTCTCGAAAACATTTTGGCTGCCCGAGCAGCCAAGCCTTCCTTCCACTTGGCCGCAGCCTCCCCTTTCTCGGCCTGCAAAACATCCTTTTTCAATCCCACTACCTTCCCTCCTTCCTCCTCTTCACCGTCCTCCTCCTCCTCCTCCTCCTCCTCCTCCTCATCCTCCTCCTCATCTTCCTCAGAGTCCGTTCCCTCATTTTCCATGGCTTCCCTATCAGCCCACTTCTCTAGCTGCTGCCTCGTTGGCTCTTTCACACCATCCTCCTCCTCCTCCTTCTCTTCGTCTTCATCCCCTTCCTCCTCCTCTTCCATTTCCTCGTCCATTTCATCTTCCTCCTCCATTGCACCTCCCTCCTTTCCTTCCTCCTCTAGCTCCCATCCCTCTTCCTCCTCCTCCCCATCATCATCCTCCTCCCCATCATCATCCTCCTCCCCATCATCATCATCCTCCTCGTCATCCTCCTCCTCCTCTTCCTCATCCTCCCCCTCATCCTCATTCTCAGCACCGTCTCCTTCGAAAACCACTGCACGCCTCATCCTTCCCTTTGCATCCCTCCTCCTCTCCTCCTTCAGACCCGTTTCCTCCTCACCCCCCTCCTCCTCATCCTCCTCCCCACCCATCTCCTCCTCATCCTCACTTTCATCCTCTTCACTCCCCTCTCCATCCTCCTCCTCCCCACCCATCTCCTCCTCGCTCCCGCCTTCCAACTCACTCACATCTCGAATCGGGGCCGTCCCTTTGAACAGCGAGATCGTGCTCGATTTCAGCTTATCATCAACCGCCACGTCAGCAGCCTGCAGGGTTTTCACCATCTCCTCTCCCTCATCCTTCTGCTTTCCACCCCCCACCCTCCCTTTCCCTCCCTTCCCCTCCCCCTCCCCCTCCTCGTCCTCGTCCTCGTCCTCTTCCTCCTCTTCCTCATCATCATCTTCCTCTCTCTTCCTCCCCTCACCCCCCTCTCCCTCATCCGACCACTCATCGTCCTCCTCTTTCCCTCCTCTTCCCTTCACCTCAACCTTAGAATACTGCACCTGATGATCCGGAATATTAATATAAACCGCATCTTTATCGTACAGTATATCCCCTATATCAGCCATCGGCGCATAAAGAAGCTTCTCCCGCTCATTTAAACTCCGCTTCTTTTTCGCCCCGGGCAGCGGGCAGGGGTCGGGCAGCTGCGTAATCGACTCCACCGCCACGTCACCCACCCCGGCAATATGCACCTTAAAGCCCTGCTTCAGATTGCACCCACGCAAATACCCGTAAATCGCGACCGTCCGATCGCATTTAGGGTTTCTCCGAACATTCTCCGTCTCCGTTAGATCTTCCACCCTGTCGGCCACCACGTAGCCGTGCGCAGTTCGCCAGGAGAGCGGGCGGAACTTGGCCACTGAAATAAACCGAGCCAGATTCAGCACCTCGCGCTTGGGGTACCTGCAAGTGGTATGGCAGGAGGGCGCGAGGAGACGAGTCCAGCAGCAGGGTAAGGAGGGAGAAGTGGAAGAGGTGAGTGAGCAGAGCGGTCACAGACAGAGCAGCCCAGCCAGGCCCTTCACTTCAATCCACCCGGCCGGCCACCAAACATATCCATGGCAGTTCGCCACGACAGCGGGCGGAGCTTGGCGACTGAGATGAAGCGAGCCAGATTCGGCACCTCCCGCTTGGAGTACCTGGGAGGGAGGGAATGGAGGGATGCCGAGAGGCGATGAATGAGCCTTGTGTAAACAGAGTTGTTTTGCGACGTCTCAAAACAACTCTGTTTACACGTGACCTCCTGCTTGGAGTACCTGGGAGGGAAGGGAGGGACGCCGAGAGGCGATGAATGAGCTCTGTGTGTGCAGAGCGGGCATAGAAGAGCAGCCAGACCATCCACGGATAAGACCCGAAAGGGTAGAACAGCTTGGCCCCATCGAAGATCTCTTTCCAGAGGCGGTGCGTGAGGCTCTTCTTGGTCTTCTTGGTCTTCTTGGTCTTCTTGGTCTTCTTGGTCTTCTTGGTCTTCTTGGTCTTCTTGGTCTTCTTGGACTTCTTGGTCTTCTTGGTCTTCTTGGTCTTCTTGGTCTTCTTGGTCTTCTTGGTCTTCTTGGTCTTCTTGGTCTTCTTGGTCTTCTTGGTCTTCTTGGTCTTCTTGGTCTTCTTGGTCTTCTTGGTCTTCTTGGTCTTCTTGGTCTTCTTGGTCTTCTTGGTCTTCTTGGTCTTCTTGGTCTTCTTGGTCTTCTTGGTCTTCTTGGTCTTCTTGGTCTTCTTGGTCTTCTTGGTCTTCTTGGTCTTCTTGGTCTTCCTGAGCTTGCTGCTGTGATACCCTCAGCTCAGCTTACATACATACATGCACGCACACCCAGTAGGCCAGAAACAACCCTCACTCACCTGCCGTGAATGACTTTTGAGTCGACTCAGTTGACTTTTGACTTTTGAGTCAACTCAGTTGACTTTTGACTTTTGAGTCGACTCAAGAAACAACCCTCACTCACCTGCCGTGAATGACTTTTGAGTCGACTCAGTTGACTTTTGACTTTTGAGTCGACTCAAGAAACAACCCTCACTCACCTGCCGTGAATGAGCCCTGAGAGGTAGAACAGCTTCGCCCCGTCATAAATTTCCGTCCAGAAGCGGTGCTTGAGCGTCTTCTTGGTCTTCTTGAGCTTGCGCGGGTCTCTGAAGCCGTCCAGGTGCGTCAGCACGCCCATGACCTTGGGGAAACCGTGCACCTGCAGCATGTTCAGGAACTCAAAGGTTTCCTGTGGGGGAGAGGAGCAGAATGAGGGTGGTTGAGGGGGATAAGAGGAGAGGAGCAGAATGAGGGTGGTGGAGGGGGGTAAGAGGAGAGGAGCAGAATGAGGGTGGTTGAGGGGGGTAAGAGGAGAGGAGCAGAATGAGGGTGGTTGAGGGGGGTAAGAGAGAACAAAATGCAGGGATGAGAACGAGCTTGCGCGGGCCTCTGAATCCGTCCAGGTGTGTCAACATGCCCATGACCTTGGGGAAACCGTGCACCTGCAGCATGTTCAGGAACTCAAAGGTCTCCTGCAGGGCATGACAGCAGGAGGGTGGAGAGGGGAGAAGGGAGGAGGGCACGATGGGACAGAGAGAGAGGGGATGGGGAAAGGAGTCGGGAAGGTAAGTAAACGAGCTTGCGTGGGTCTCTGAAGCCGTCCAGGTGCGTCACAGCACGCCCATGACCTTGGGAAAGCCGTGCACCTGCAGCATGTTCAGGAACTCAAAGATTTCCAGTGGGGGGGGAGAAGAAGGGAGAGAGGTGAACACAAATTTAGAGCAAGAGGCGCACAACTACACACAGAGGCAGCACCAGGAGAGGGAGACAGCAGCTCACCACACTCTCTCATTACTTAAGAGAATCCTCACCGCTGTTACAAGCATGTCTCACAACACATTAACCTTGTCACCGCAAGCACGCACGCGCGCGCGCCCCTTCCCCCTCTTCCGCATCCACCCAGCAAGGCATGCACGCTCACACACTCACGTCACACTCTCACCACACAGTATGCATGCACACACACACACACACACACACACCTAAAAGCATACAGACATGCAGTCACATAGATGGACACACCCACCATCTCGAAGCCAAAGCTGCCATCTATGAGCAGCAGCACTTGGGATGCAGGCTTGGGCTGAGGACTTGGGCTGAGGACTTGGGCTGAGGACTTGGGCTGAGGACTTGGGCTGAGGACTTGGGCTGAGGGCTTGGGCTGAGGGCTTGGGCTGAGGACTTGGGCTGAGGACTTGGGCTGAGGACTTGGGCTGAGGACTTGGGCTGAGGACTTGGGCTGAGGACTTGGGTGCATCCAACAGCACGCTCACACACTCACCCTCCCATACACACGTATGTACAGACATTCGGACACATAGACACACGCACGCACCATTTCGAAGCCGAAGCTGCCGTCTATGAGCAGCAGCACGAGGTCTGCAAACTTCTTGGGCTGCAGGCTTGGGCACGAGGCTGCCGTCTATGAGCAGCAGCACGAGGTCTGCAAACTTGGCCGCATCGAGCATGGCGTGCACACTCACACATACCCTCCCACCACACAGCATGCACACACACACGCAAATATACAGACAAATATACACACCCACCATTTCAAAGCCGAAGCTGCCGTCTATGAGCAGCAGCACGAGGTCTGCAAACTTGGCCGCATCCAACATGGCATGCACGCTCACACACAGCAAGCGCACACACACACATGTATAGACATATAGGCACACCCACCATCTCGAAGCCGAAGCTGCCGTCTATGAGCAGCAGCACAAGGTCAGCGAATTTGGCTGCATCCACCCACCCAGGATGGCGTGCACGCGCACACACACACTCACCCTCCCACTACGCAGCATGCACACACACACACACGCATGTACAGGCATAACATACAGACAGATAGACACACTCACCATCTCGAAGCTGAAGCTGCCATCGATGAGCAGCAGCACAAGGTCTGCAAACTTGGCCGCATCCAACATGGCATGCACGCTCACACACACTCACCCGCCCACCACACAGCAAGCGCACACACACACATGTATAGACAGATAGACACACGCACCATCTCAAAGCCGAAGCTGCCATCGATGAGCAGCAGCACGAGGTCTGCAAACTTTGCCGCATCCAACATGGCGTGCACGCTGCCGCTGCACTCTATGAAGAGGAGACGGCGCTTCTTGCCTGGGTGGAGTGAGAAAGAGAAAGAGAGCAGGGAGGAGAAAGAGGAGTGAGAAGAAGGTCGGAGAGGTGACAGCATCCAGCATGGCGTGCACGCTGCCGCTGCACTCTATGAAGATCAGGCGCCGCTTTTTTCCTGAGTATTAGGAGGGAAAGGGGGGAAAACGGCAGACTGAGGCAGGGAACCGGGGGCAACGACTTTTGAGGCGCCTCAAAAGTCGTTTCCTGAGTATTGGGAGGGAAAGGGGGGAAAAGAAAATGGGTGAATGAGGCAGGGAACCGGGGGCAACGTAGCAAGTGTGCCCGCATCCAACATGGCATGCACGTCACGTTGCTTCCGCACTCTATAAACAGCAGCCAACGATTCTTGAGGTGTGACAACCCACCTGAGACGACAGTGATTGGTCCCTTGACGTCTGGAATGTTGTGCTTGGTGTAGTGCTTTATCAATGAGCGGATGAGCGTCGTCTTACCCACCTGCCAAGGATGTAAGGGGCGAGGGTTAAGGGTCGAGACGGTGAAAGGAGATAGATAAGGTTTCACATATCGCTAACCATCAAACGGCAGTGATAGGTCCCTTGACGTCTGGAATGTTGTGCTTGGTGTAGTGCTTTATCAATGAGCGGATGAGCGTTGTCTTGCCCACCTGGAGTGGAGGGAAGGGGACGAGAGTTGGGGGTATACACAGTGGAAGGAGATAGATCAGGTTTCACATCTCTCAAACACTCAAACGGCAGTGATGGGTCCCTTGACGTCTGGAATGTTGTGCTTGGTGTAGTGCTTTATCAATGAGCGGATGAGCGTCGTCTTACCCACCTGCCAAGGATGTAAGGGGCGAGGGTTAAGGGTCGAGACGGTGAAAGGAGATAGATAAGGTTTCACATATCGCTAACCATCAAACGGCAGTGATAGGTCCCTTGACGTCTGGAATGTTGTGCTTGGTGTAGTGCTTTATCAATGAGTGGATGAGCGTTGTCTTGCCCACCTGGAGTGAAGGGAAGGGGACGAGAGTTGGGGGTATACACAGTGGAAGGAGATAGATCAGGTTTCACATCTCTCAAACACTCAAACGGCAGTGATGGGTCCCTTGACGTCTGGAATGTTGTGCTTGGTGTAGTGCTTTATCAATGAGCGGATGAGCGTCGTCTTGCCCACCTGCCGTCAAGGGAGGGGGAGACAGTGGGGGTGAGACAAAGTGGAAGGAGGTAGATGAGGTTTCACATCTCTCAAACACTCAAACGGTAGTGATAGGTCCCTTGACGTCTGGAATGTTGTGCTTGGTGTAGTGCTTTATCAATGAGCGAATGAGTGTTGTCTTGCCCACCTGCCAGATTGGGAGAGGGCAGGGTAGGGAGCGCAGAGGGGGGAGAGGGGCGTAAGAGCGGGGAGCGCAAAGGTCACCTCAAGTTGTGCTTGGTGTAGTGCTTGATGAGTGAGCGGATGAGCGTCGTCTTGCCCACCTGCCATACAGGGGCGGATTAGAACACAGCAAAAGGCGTCTAGAGAATGAGTTTCAGGGCGTCTCAAATCCAGAGACAACAGTTACAAGGCTCTTGTTGTCTGTAGCATAGCATAGCTCCTCCACTGACTGTCCGCGGCAGCTGCCTGTCCGCGGCAGCTGCCTGTCCGCGGCAGCTTTTGAGGCAGAGAGCTATGAACGACTACGAACACCAGAGAGAGATCACTGTTACAGGGTTCTTGACTTGACTTGACCAAATCGTCCGCCTTGAGACAACTGTTACACTTTCGTCAAGTCAAGCCCCCTGCAACAGTTATCTCTCCAAAGTGCCTCGAATGCATGTCTGTGGCAGCAGCACAGCACTCGGCACGTGCATGCAGCATGTGTGTGCCTTGTGACATGCGCACACACACCACAACAACACCTCACCTTGGGGGGACCTTGCACCAGCACCACGAAAGGTGGCGGCTCCAGTGCCTGTGCGCGAGTGGCAGCGGCACTGGGCGCATGCATGCAGCTCCACCCTCCTCGACACCTCACACACACGGACACATACCACAGCCATCACCCACCTTAGGTGGCCCCTGCACCAGCACCACGAACGGAGGTGGCTCCAGTGCCTGAGCGCGTGTGGCAGCGGCACTGGGCGCGTGCATGCGCCGCTGCTGCAGCTCCACCCTCCTCGCCACCTGTAGCTTGGCCCGACGCGACGAGCGGAAAGCAAACGCCTGGCAGGTGGGGAAGAGTTACAGGGGAGAGGGAGCGGACAGGGTAGGGGAGGGAGAGAGAGGATACAAATCTTTAGAATACCAGGGTAGAAGGGAGGGAAGGGAAGGCGCAGCTGCTGCTGCTGCAGCTCCACCCGCCTCGCAATCTGCAGCTTGACTCGGCGGCGCGACGAGCGAGCGAGAATGTAAACGCCAGGCAGGTTTAAGCGAGAGCCAGCAGCAAACAGAAGGTCAAACGGGGTCTGCTGAGGAGGTTGAAAACTCAGGGTACAGGGTACGAGGTTTAAGCACGAGGCAACTTCCATCTGTAGTAGCCGGGTTGCTTGTGGTAGACACGAGCGCATAAGGAAGAACGTTGCGACGTAGCCATCGCGGGGCGTGACTGATGACGTGGCACGTAATCACAAGGTAAATCGAACCCCTCTCTCTCCCTCCTGGGCTGAACATACGAACCCCGGATTATAACATACTACCCCGACAAGCGTCTATTCCAGTCTTCGACTAAGCCTGGAATCGTCTTACTCGCGAGCACTCGCGAGCTTTCGTCCGTCCTCACTCCGCATGACTCTATCAAACCTAATCCTGCGGTCCTCCTCGCGTCCTTGGAGCTACTAATGCACGTCTCCCTGAGGGCAGCAGCTTAGGTGCGTACTCGCGGGTTCTCGCGTTCCTCCGCGTCGTCGTCCACGCCGCGTTTCTTCTTATCCTTCTCCTTCTAAACCCGAAATCTCCCTCTTAGCTAACAAGTTGGTGCTTACTCGCGGGTTCTCGCGTTCCTCCGCGTCGTCGTCCACGCCGCGTTTCTTCTTATCTTTCTCCTTCTTGCGCTCCGCCGCCGGCCCTGACCGCGCCGCGCGATGGCTCTTCTTATCCGCGTCCTGCAACGACACGGACGAGCCACCGCCGCCACTCGCGGCGGCAGTGGCGGCCGCCATCGCCTTCCCCGCACGTCCTCCCGGAACGACGTCTGAACGCGCCATGGTGTCAATGATGAACGGCAATACCACCAAGCTTGATTACGGGTTTAGTATTTTGCTAGACATATAGTTTGTTTTAAATCGCAACACATGCCGATTTAGCTCAGTGGTAGAGCGCGTGGCTTTTAAAGCCCGCGTCCCAAGACGAAGTTGAGTGTCCAAGCTTTTGAAAGTCACGCACTTGCAATTTGGGACTTCCGAAGACAGATTCACTCACCAGGGGGAAAACCGAGGGTTGGCTGGGTCTCGCGAAAAAAACGAACCTAGACGAAATCGGAAACTCTCGCCAAAGCCCACACCAGAAAAACTCCCTCTGGTCAACACCCTAAAGCATGAACAATTTGGGCCGCCGGCTTTAACCTCGTGGCCGTGGGTTCGATCCCCACAATCGGCGAAGCCTTTGTTATACCAGGTTTTCGTGCTGCATTGTTGTGTTTGCACGTAGTCTCACACTTCATGGAAAACTGCCCGACCTAGGATTATTATCGTACCTAAGAGGGGGGATCCTTTTTCCATATGGGCTGATTTTGACTACCTCAACCCTTATTGAATTCATGGACAAAATGCTTGACCTATGAACAAGTCGACTTAAAGCTCGCAGCCCAAGTTGTTCAACCTTAAAGCCCGAGTCTAGAATGGTAAGGCTTCAAGAATACTGAACTTGAAAGGTGTTGGGAAAGCGACGGAATGGGCAAGCGATGGTCATGTGAAGGCCAGCGACATGATGGGAGAGCGTGGGAGACACTCAGAGTAAGCGTGGGTGACGGACGCGGGAAGGGAGAGCCACCTAAAAGGCGACGGGAGGGGAGGCGAATTCAAGTTCAAGAATCTTGAACTTGAAAAGTTGCCATTCTAGACTCGGGCTTTAATAAAGGTTGAGCGCTGGGCTGTGGGGAAAGGTGTGCACGAATATTGGCGGGGGTATTGTGGGCGAGGGTTATTACGATTTCGCCCAACCCTTCGCAGCACTTTGAAAAGGGGGGACTTCGGGATTTGGTTTCCGAAGTCCCAAGTTGCCACGGCCAAGTTTCCGATTGTCAACGGCCAAGATTAGTAATCTTGACCCGCGTGGTCCGCAACTTGGGCCGCGGGCTTTAAAGCTGCGGCCTACATACCTCTAGGGACAGGCCCTGGTTTATCACTTGAAAACAGGGTAGCAGACTCTACAGAAGAAACGAACGATCGAGGCGGAAGGAGGGAGCGGGGTGGGCGTATAACTTTCCGCTCGGTTGTTTGTGTTGGGCGCTGAAATTTCCGCCTTTCCGCGGATTTGTTCCCCCAGAAAAACCCACTCGCGATATTGTTCCGCATCGCCAACTTTGTTTGAGTTCCTCGCACAGGTGTTTGGGGAAAAACCACACCTCGCCCTCAAATCATCGCGCACCAAAGGGTGTGCACTTAGATTACTCCCCAAAACCCCCTTTTAGAATGTATACCGCCGCTTTAATATTCCGGTCGAGGGCAAAGCGGGGTGGGTTGATTTGTTCATGTCACATACCCATCCCTATAATATACTTCCATGGCCCGTAAGGAAATCGTTTAAACAAAAAGAATGTGTGAAAAACGGGTGGGGAGGTGTGAAAACATTTAGACTTAGTCCCAAGTTTTCAAGAAGGGTTGGGAGGGGGGAGAGGGGGGGGGGAGGAGGTTGGAGTAACGGAACGACGACGGAATTTATCATTGGTGCACATTTACCAAGGAATCAAACTCGGGACCTTGACCAAGCCATTTTTGGCCGGAATTGCCGTCGTCAACCGGTGTTCTACAGGTCTTCAAACTGTCGTAGAACCTTTTGGGTGTATGCACTGTTGACGGTAAATGCCCCGCCCTAGCTTGGGCGAAGCTGATCTTGCAGTCGGGTGCGCGAAATGTGTAGCCGGCTGCCCGCTGGACATCTGCGCGGGACCCTTGCGAAGCCGCCGACGATGGGAAGTCGGCGGCCGACTTCAACTGGCGTGGTCGACGAGGGGGTTCGTCGACCTGTGGGGACGTTGCCTTGGTAAATATCGTCGGTTGGTGTCGACCTGTGCGGTCGACATGCATGTACACCAGTTTGCGGGTTCACCCGGTCGACCGAGTTACCTGGTTGACGAAGTTCCGCGGAAGTGTGTGATCGTCGTCGAGGTTGTTGTGGCGAAGTCGACCAACGCGACAGCACGTGGTCGACGTGGCTCATCAGGCACAACCGTAGGCATGTGGCCAACTTGGCATCTCGGTGATGTGCGTGACGGTGCACGTCGTGTTCAACCGTGTACAAACACCTGCGAAGTAGGTGTACGCATGTGTTGTCACCTGCAGTTGCAATGCTGGCAGGCCGCCCTGCTGCAGCATTGGCAAGCCGCTTTGGTGTAGCGCTGGCAGGCCACCGACCTGCTAAGTTGGCAAGCCGCATCTCTGCAGTGTTGGCGCGGTGTCGACTTGCAGTGCTGGCAGGTGGCCAACTTTGCAGCGCTAGCCATCGACCTGCCTGCCTGCTAGACAGCCTTTCATCTGATGTAGTCTTTCTTGCCATTGTAATCTCTATCATTATTGTTCTCAACTTTTGTTAGTGAAACTCTTGTTGTTTTACCCAGTAAACACACAAGTGCTAGAGAACACGAACAAACGCTACGATCACCCGTATCACCGTGCTTTCTCCCGTAGTCCAGCTCCTGGTGTTGAGTGACTCTTCGGATGCACGAGCAACAAACCGATCCGATCTATCTAGACCGGATATGGCTCATGAGGGTAGAGTCGGTTCGGCGTAAGGATTTGCCCAACCTGAGTTGGGCCCAAAGAGTCTAGGTCAGTATATGCCAAGAGCTGTTCTGGGTCGATCCGCTGAGAAATGCCGAGTAAAAGGGTTGAATTTGTTAGAATGCGGTAAAAGTGCCCGATTTGGGAAAATATCGATCCGACACCCCAGTGTAATCCCGCTTTTCGCATATCCAAATTACATCACATATCAATACCGCGTTAAAAAACGAACGTGATGAGATCGATCCAACACTTTAACCCCGTCCTTAGGACATGGTGCACAACGCCTTGGCTTAGTATGGGTCGGGTCAGAACAGCACTCTATCGCTCACTGCTGCTCACCACCAGCTTTCACCACGGCTCCGTGGCTTCTAACAAGTTAAGCAGGTACGAAAAAGAAACCAGCCGATTTAGCTCAGTGGTAGAGCGCGTGGCTTTTATCCACGTGGCCGTGGGTTTCGATCCCCACAATCGGCGTAAAATCTATAGTGTCCTGGTGGTGGCACCAGTTCACCTTTTAATCGTGTTACCAGTAATTTGCTTCGTCGGCACTGGTGTCGCACTTCAACGATGTGCAATAACGTAATGTCGCTTCCGCAAATATGTTTTCGTGGATGTCGCAAATCTCCCAACCTCCAGTTGTCGTGTCGGTGACGGCTTCAGGTCGCCAATCTCTCGACCTCCAATGTCTCAGGCGAGGTTGGATCATCATCAAGTGCTGGTTTACAAGGTTTTACAATATAGTAATAAGATATAGAACGGTGCAGTGCGATAAGTATGACCCAGCGACCCAGCCTTCTTTTAGGCTGCTTGCCTTACCCGTGGGCCAAGAAGGCAAAATTTGGCTCATCCTTCCTAATGTTGGTTGGGTGTACCAAAAACGCCTGTGCTGATTCCCGATTTCTGAGACCTAGGCCAACATTTTCGACACTCCTATTGGCTCGCGGCCGAATATTGTCCTCACTCCCAACCAACCTTCCTAAGCTTGAATAGTTTGGCCTGCGGGTTTTAACCTCCACATCACCTCAGGTACCCATGTTGTTGATTGTGTTCGATGCTTTTATAGCTGCTTTTAGCCCTTGCGTTTCAGGAATTTTCCACGAGTTTTGCGACAATTGTTGTAATCCCGTCCAAGCCATCAGCGATGTTGAAGCGGAAGCGAGCTGTTCTCGTTATAGACCCTGAGGACCTATCCGACAGTGGATCTGAGTCCGATTCGGTACAAGGCGACTCGTCAGACGAGGCTTTTCGCTCACACGGCGATGACGCGGCGAGCGACGCGTCATCTCGCGATCCTTTCTCGCAGGAGCCTCGGCGAAGGAAGTGCGACAACATTGACGTTTCGCGGGATGTTGACGGCCGTGCGTAAGCAGATAGCGCTGTACGTTTCCAGGAAACTGGCGGTCAATCGAACGTCGTCGTCAGGGCTGACGTGGACTCAAACGATAGGACGATAAACGATGGAGCGGTTAGTGCGAATAATGTTACTGAACCGATTGAGCCGATCAATGAACAAGAAAGGCCGGTATTGGCGGTTCAGTCAGCAGGAGGAGAAGACGCCACGTCGCCACAGGCGGAAATGGACGACTTTGATGCGATCGCGGGTGAGTGGATCTCCAGCCTCCAGTTCGACCTTGGACTCGTCGCGTCACGCTCCAGTGGCGAGTGACGACCTTGGTGTGTTTTGAGAGATTAGGCAAAACTCTTTTAGATTCAGTCACACGATTGCGAGTCGTTAGTCAACCATCGTTAGTTTCAGACTCGCCACGAACTATCAACTCACCACGGCATGATTCTGCAATTCCCTGTCTTTCTCTCATTCTCATTCTCATTCTCATTCTCATTCTCCCCCCCTCGTTTTCTCTTCCCCCGCGTCTTCTCTGCTTCTCCCATGCAGCGGACATCCCTTGCGACACACTTGCAGGCATCCACTTCCTCCGTGACTCTTTCCCCCCATCACTCTCCAAGGTGACTCTTTCCCCCCATCACTCTCCAAGGTGACTCTTTCCCCCCATCACTCTCCCAGGTGACTCTTTCCCCCCATCACTCTCCCAGGTGACTCTTTCCCCCCATCACTCTCCAAGGTGACTCTTTCCCCCCATCACTCTCCAAGGTGACTCTTTCCCCTCATCGCTCTCCAAGGTGACTCTTTCCCCCCATCAATCTCCAAGGTGACTCTTTCCCCCCATCACTCTCCAAGGTGACTCTTTCCCCCCATCACTCTCCAAGGTGACTCTTTCCCCCCATCACTCTCCAAGGTGACTCTT